CATGAAATCTATGGATCTCTTCCTCAGAAAAATATACAAGCACAAATGGTTTTGCACATAATTTCTTTTCCACAGAATTTACACATAATTTCAAAGAATTCACAGACCCTATGAAACCCATCCATGGATCCAGAATTAAAAACCTGTTTATTAAGCTAAAGAACAGGAAAGACCTCGATTCACATGTAACTATACAAAAGTACAATAAGTGGAACATACCCTGGATTGGGAGCCAGAAATGGCTTCAAAACACAGTTTTGCCATTTCTATAATTGTGTGACCTAGCATAAGTCATTTACTTTTCCAAGCCTCAATTTTATCATTGGTAAAATGAGGGAACTATGATTACCAAAGTCTCAGGCGGCTCTAAAATCTTGGAAATTATCTTATTTAGCCCTTAGTTGTAACTGAGAAACTAACCTAAGAGCTCTTTTAAAAAGTTAATTATATCGAGGTTAATTTGCATAAAGTTTTAAGTATACCCATTTTACATGTATATTTCAATTTTGAGAAATCTATACACCTGAGTAACCACCACCACAACCAAGAGATAGATCTCTTCCACCATCCCTAAAAGTTCTCTAGTAAACCCCACACCCAGCCCTCCGCAACCATGGATAGGCCTTCTGCCACTATAGATTAGGTTTGCATTCTTGTATCAATGTACCAATCACTGTGGATTACTTCCCTTTATTCTCAAAATTCCAAGAGGAAACAAGTTCAGGGAGGTTTAAAAGACTCAAATTCACACTGTGAGTGCATGGCAGAATTAGATTCAAACTGCAGTCTACTTCCTTCTAGAATCAGTGAGCCCTACATGGTCTATAGGACTGAATTCACAATGATCCTTCCAAGTTGAAGAAATTATTTTTTAAGAACTCAATACAGAACTCTAAGTTTAATATTCTAATACAGCTCATTAATAGCTGGACTTGGATAAACAGTGGGTTCAATTACATACCAAAAACCAGAAAGTCATTTATGAGAAGTTTGATTTGGGCTATTAGTTGTCATCCTCAACGCTTATTTCCAAGATTAACCTCCTTAAAGTTAGTGGTCCTTTTCTTGTAACAGATATGTTTAAAAAATGTTTATATTATCAAAATTTAGGAGGGACTCACTCTCCTGTTTTCTGTTTAATGGTTTGGATATGATAAATGTATTTCAAATAACTTTTTTTTTTTAAGATTTTATTTCTTTCTCAGAGAGAGAGAGACAGAGGCAGGCAGAGGGAGAAACAGGCTCCCCGCTCAGCAAGGAGCCCGATGTGGGACTCGATCCCAGGACCCTGGGATCATGACCTGAGCCGAAGGGAGACGCTTAACCGACTGAGCCACCCAAGCGTCCCTCAAATAACTTTTTTCTTTCAACAAAGCTTACCAGAGGCAAGACATTTGCCCAAGTCAGTCATTAATGGTTAACTCTAAATGTCACAAACACAGGGTACTGACAGTTGGTCTTCCACCTCTGAACGATCTTGACTCCATGTGAAAAGGAGAAAGATATTTAGAACTTAAAAAAAAAAAAAGACCCACGTTATCCATAAATGGGAACAAAATATGACACACACCCCCATCAAGTAAATTAAAAAATTGATGTTGATGGCTTTTTTTAAACAGAAAATAACCAAATCTCTCAATACAACTTTATATTCAAGGGTGAAATACCTGTTGGTTTTCCTACCCATAAATATGTGACAGCAGATACAGAAAGAATGGCATAAGATTGAAAGGGAAATTATTTTCCTAAGTCTGGAGATGACTCAACATGTGCCTTTGGTGTCTACATAATGATGATAATCCAAGAAAACACACTTTCTAAATAATGCCAAAGGGAAATATTAAATTAGCTTAATTATCCTCATATCTTTGTAAGGGCCAGAATATTCTTCAAAATATCTTTTTTTTAAAAATGGAAGTGAACAAGAGATTAGGCAATTTGCTTAAAGTTTCAAAAGAAGATATGGGAGGAGACAGTGTTTAAATCAGATCCCTCATGGGCGCCTAGGTGGCTCAGTCGACTGAGCATCTGCCTTCGGCTCAGGTCATGATCTCGGGGTCCTAGGATTGAGCCCCACGTCGGGATCCCTGCTCAGCGGGGAGTTTGCTTCTCCCCCTCTCTCCCCTTCTGCCCTTCTCCCTGCTTGCACTCTCTCACATAAATAAAATCTTTTTTAAAAAAAAATAAATAAATCCGATCCCTCAGAGTGAGAAATTATATTTTATGGTAGCAATAATGACAATGTTAAAATGTATGCTATAAAGTATGACAAGAGTCTACTATATTCTGCATTTCTAGCCTAATAAACTACTCAAGAGTCAAAATTTAAGATACTTCCCAAATTCTCAGTTCTTCCCTCTAGTGAATAAAATCCTACACTCACGTGATCATATTCTCCTTTGATAGTACTATCTCCCTAGCTGATGATGTACCTGTTATTTTAAAAAAAGAGATAAATAAAAGTACACACAAGTATAAAACTCATCATCATTAAGCTAAAAAAAAAAAATCTTCTCAAGTGGCTTAGATTACTGCAGGCACTGTTGCATGTTACCATGGACTCTTCTCAGTTTCCAGTAATATAGACCATGACTGTCCCCTTACCAGATCAGAGTAATACAGGCAGTTTAGTCTAATAGAATGCATGAAGGATTGGGAAAGAGGTGGCTCAACTTTTCTATGCTTCAGTTTCCTCAGTGACCAAATAGTCTAGCGAATGAGTGATACAAAGGAACTTTTCAGAGCTTCTGTGGGAGCCCAATAGCATTAACAGATGAAAATGTATCTAAAAGCTTAAATTTTAAATCAGTGTAAAGCACTGCAAATGTAATTGAAGAAAGAAGTATTGAATATTTATCATAAGTAATGAACCACAGCTTTAATGGCTGTTCAAAAGATGCATTAGGTTGGGGCACCTGGGTGGTTCAGTTGGTTAAGCATCTAACTCTTGATTTTGGCCTAGGTCATGATCTCAGGGTTGTGGGATTGAGCCATGGGTCAGGCTCTGCACTCAGCAGGGAGTGTGCTTGAAATTCTCTCTCTCTCTCTGCCCCTCGGGAACAAGTGAAAATAAAAGGAGCTGAATAGGTAGAGAGTTTAGAGAGTCACAAGGAAAAGAGCAGTTTGGTATCAAAGTCTGGAGAAGACACAATCAGATTTTGGGAACTGGACAAGCCAAACTTAGAAGAATCCCTTGTGTAACCTGCCTCTCCCCTATCAGCAGCAACCTAATCTTTCTTTTTTTCCCCAAAGATTTTTATTTATTTGTCACAGAGAGAGAGCACGCGTGCACACACAAGCAGGGGGAGCAGCAGGCAGAGGGAGAAGCAGGCTCCTTGCTGAGCATGGAGCCCGATGCAGGACTCGATCCCAGATCATGACCTGAGCCGAAGGCAGATGCTTAACCAACTGAGCCACCCAGGTATCCCTCAGCAACCTCATCTTCTGACTTGCTTCTTCCCAAATTACATGTATAGTTTGGGAGAAGAAACAAAAAAGCTGGGTAAACTGCAATTACCTAATTGAAAGATATAAAGGTATACACTCTGAGTACTTACAAACACTTAGAAACATGGTGACAGGCGGTAGAGATGCCACTGGCCCTGGAAATGACAATGTATTCTACAGTCCAATCTTATTCAGCACACTTTTTCACTTTTTATATTTAAAGTAAAAGCATTTTTTTTAGTCCTCTATTTAGGTCATTTTGCCTGAGAATGCAATGTCAGTATACTACCCTGTCTTCAGTCACTTCATCTTGGCGGAACAGAAAAAGTGCGATTGGTTTTCAGAAGAGTGTGCTCAAATCATGATTTCATTTTCCCATTATGGCTATGTGTTCTCAGTAGTCACCTCCCTCATCTATACTTTTTCATCCAGCAAAGTATTTGAGCCCTTACTTTGTGCCAGGAACTGTCTGGGCACTTGGGGTAACCATGTAAACAGGACCCACAGGATCTCCATCCTTGCCCTTAAGAGGTAGAAAGTCAACAAACAAGTAAATACAAAAATGACAAAATTGAGATCAGCGCTGAGAAAGATATTTTTAACAGAGAAAAGTTGGGGGTTACAGAACTTCTTTAAATAGGGTGGTCAGAGAAGGTTACTCTAGGAAGATTTAGGCAGAGACCCCAGGGAAGAGGAGCCAGTTACACCCACATGTTGTGCGTGTATGTGCGTGTGCAGTTGGGGGTACGGTATGTGGTAAGAGCATCCCAGGAATAGAGATCAGAAAGTCCAAGTGGAGCGGAAAAGCGCAGGTATTAGGGATGGACAGGCGGCCCGTATGGCTGGAGCTTACGCTAGACCGCAAACGTCGGTAAGGACCCTATGGTACAGGGAACGCCTTACAGGCCACAGCAAGGAGTCTGGATTTTATCTAAATGCAACGGAAAGCCAAAAAATTACTTCAGATAGGTGAATTACACGATCCGTTTTTTTTTTTTTAAAGATCTCATTTTAGAGATGTGGGGGAAAGGTTTTAAGCGCAGAGAACCGTAATCAGACGTAATAATTATTCACTTCTCCCGGTCTCAAATTTTCCACCTGTAAAGCAAGTGGTGTGAGTTAGAAGCCATTTCCTTCCCGCTGCGAAGTGCCGGGGCAGTGAGTTCTGAGAGCAAGGGCCGTGTCAGACTGACCACGGAATTCCCCCTCACCGCCGCCGACGCCCAGCACGCAACCGGCACCCTGAAACTGTTGGTCAACGCAAATGAATCAATGAATGGCCTGCCCCGACCGCGAGGGAGGCGCTCCGGCGCGGGACCAGGCCCCGGGGCCGGAAAAGAACGCGATACGCGGCGTAGGAGGCCGCGAGAGCCGACCGGAGAGGAAAGTGGGGGCCGGCTCCACCACAGTCAAGGCGCGATGAGGAGGCCGGGACCTCGCAGATTGAGGGCAGGAGGAGCTGGACTCCGGGCCCGACGTGGGGTTCCTGGGACAGCAGGCCGAAACGCAGAGCTAAGGAGGGGGTCTGGGCCCAGGCTGGAACGCCCACTCACCGCAGCCGTCGCCAGGCTGTGCATGTTGGGAGCGGCCGCCGCTCTTCTCCCAGTGCCGGACGCGTCGGACCAGCGTCCCCGTTTCAGTGACTCTGCCGCCAAAGATGAACAGCCGCGGCAGCCGCCATCCGCCTCCGGCTTGCTCCGCCCCCTTCGCAGGCCTATGACCTTTCACCTCTGACCCCGCCCACACACCTCTTCCCGCCTCCTAGCTCTCGGTGGAGTTAATAGTCCCAGAGTATGTCCTTTGCCCCTTAAGATTCTGGGCCAGAAGGACGTCCGCCACCTACTAGTCCCCGCCTCCTCTGTCTTCGAGCAGGTATTCCCCAGAGAGGGGCGTGAACTCTGACTCTCCTCCAGAGGCCAGTGAAGGGCGGGAAAAGCCAAGTGGTCTCGGAGGACCAGTAGTGCGCATGCCCGACTGGGCTGTGTAGGAGGGAAAGGATGGGAGGGCCACAATGCGCGAAGTGGAGAGTGCGCATGCGTACTACTTCACGGCGGGGGCGGGGCTGTCTCGGCCAGACTTCGCTCTGTGCTGGGGCGGGACGAAGGCTCAGGAGGGGCGGAGTTTGCAGGCCTGCGCGCACGCGCCTCGTCTGGTCGCGTCGAGTGTGCGTGCGTGCGTGCGTGTTTGCGTGTGGTCACAGTTCCCGCCATCAGCCGCTCTCCCTGAGTAGGGGGAGTGAGCGGCCCCTCTCCGTCCCGGTTGCCCCTTTCCTTCCTTACCCCCGGCTCCTCCCCCTGCGCGCGGACTCTGTGCTTCCGGCAGGCCAGTGCAGGGCTCCGGAACCGAAGGCACAGGTAAGGCGCGCCCGGCGGCGAGCTTCTCAAATGAGCCGTTTTCCCCGGGTCCCCCTCCCCCCCCGCCCCTTGCGGTCCGCCCACTCGGTGTTCACTCTTCTGGAGTTCGCCCCGTTGCTGCTCAGCTCACCCCCACCCCTTCGACGCCCCCAGGGCCTCACAGGTACTCCTCTTGGGTTTTCTCCCAGGCTTTCCCACTCCTTTGACCTGGTCTTACTGTCACGCTCTTGCTCCGCAACCCAAACCTGGCCCCTTTTCGCTGGGGGCTGTCGTCGTCCGCCACTTGCCCCTTAGCAAGGCCTGCTGTCTCTTCAGGTGACTTCCGTTGCCGCACACCCATCAGGCCTTGGACATTCACTCTTGACCATTCTTCATCTTCCCTCTCCTAACCATTTCTCACTAAAACGCATGAATTGTATATTTGTCGTGCATTTGGTTGCTCCCCATCTTCTAGCTATCAGATCAGGTTGTCAGGTTTACCTATTTTAGGTCATGATCCTTGAAAGGGAATGATCATTGATGACAAAATCCTGTGTTCTGGAGAATTGGTCTGTAGTGGTTTTGTAGTAATCGTTTTCAAAATTTCGGCTCTATTTAAATGCCTTTAGTGGGGTAGGCAGTATCTGACAAGTCTCTAACTGGAAAAGATGCCTAAGACAGACTGTCAAGGAAACAGTTGGATATACTGGGTTGGAGCTCAGAGGAGAATTCTGGGCAGGCTGTATAAACTAGTGTATGTATGTCATCTGCCATGTTGATAGTAACTGAAGCTATGCATGTGGATGAAATTGCCTAATGAGAGTGTAGTGCTAGAAAAAAACCGACCCAGGATGGAGCACGGAGGGATTCTTGGTGTATAGAGGAGGGCAAGTCTTCTGTAAAAGAGATGAAAGAATTAATCAATAGTGTTGAATTCTGTTGAAAGGTAAAGTTGAATGAGGACTGTAAAGCCTGGTGACATCAAAGTAATCGATGATCCCAGTGAGAGATGTTTGATGGAGTGAAATGGAATATCTGGGTTCAGTGCTAGGGTCTTGTTCACCTTTTACTCTTTTGCCCTAAGCTTTAAATTCCACCTGTATGTTGAAGACTTAAGAATTTTAATTTCCATCCTTTTCCCTTTATTTTCAGCTCAAGATCTAAATAACCAGTTGTCTGCTTAACATCTCCACTTGATTTTTTTCTTAGGAGTTTCAAATATAATACATCTAAAACCAAAGTCTTAATTTTTCTTTATCCCAAATTCTTTGTTCTTCAGTATCTCTTTCATTAAGTGGCATATTCATTTATTTATCCACTTACATAAGCTAGAAACTTGAAATCCATTCTTGACCTCTCCTTTATCCCATGTATTTTTAAGTTCTATTTATTCTATATCCAATACAGTTGATCCTTGAATAGCTGAAGGGTTAGGGGCACGGACCCCTTACAGTTGAAAATCCATATATAACTTCTGACTCTTCTCAAATCTAACTACTAATAGCCTACTGTTGGCTGGAATACTAATAGCATAAATAGTTACTTAATACGTAATCTGTGCTATGTGTATTTTACGCTGTATTCTTAGAATTAAGTTAGACAAAAGAAGTGTTAAGAAAATAAGAAAAAATACATTTACGGTACTGTATTTATTGAAAAAAAATCATGTATATGTAATTCCATGCATTTCAAATCCATGTTGTTCAAGGGTCATCTGTACGTCTGAATGTATTTCTGTACATCTTCAGTATCACTTTTTGAGTTCAAGCCACAATCTTCGTTCATCCGGACTTAATGTCACTGGTCCCTATATTCTCATCTGTAAAATGGGAATAATAATCACTTTATTTGATTGTTATGAGGATTAAATGGCACATGGCACACAGTAAATAGCCAGTGGGCTTAATTGTTATTGTAATTGTTATAAGCGGAATCACTTCAGTATTTTCTTGTCTGCCCTATTTTCTTTCATTCTTCTTCTTTTACTCTCCTCCCCAAACCCAAATAAACTATATCACTTCTTCATTCAACAGTAACATGTTATTTCTCTGCTTAAAACTCTTCAGTGGTGGGGCACCTGGGCGGCTCAGTCGTTAAGCAGCTGCCTTCCGCTCAGGTCCTGATCCCAGGGTCCTGGGATCAGTCTCCCTGCTCAGCAGGGAGTCTGCTTCTCTCTCTCCCACTCACCCTGCTTGTGTTCCCTCTCTTGCTGTCTCTTGCTGTCAAATAAATAAATCTAAAAAAAAAAAAAAAAAAAAACTTCAGTGGATTTCCCATCACTAAACTAACGTGCATTACATTTAGGGTAAAATTCAAAATACTTACTGTGGTCTACAGGATTCTACATAACTTGATTCTTACTGGCTTCACTAGCTTCATCTTGCTCCAGCCTCCTCTTGCTCACTAAACTCTAGCTACACTGCTTTTCATTTCCTTAGTCACACCAAGTTATTTTCCAGCTACAGGGCCTTTGCACATGCTGATTGTTCCAGCATGACCATCCCCAATTAACTCATTCTTTAATATTAGCTTAACCTTTGCCTCTGCCCTCAACCCCCACATCTTAGATACTCTATTATAATGTCTTGTCATGCCCTGTACTTTATATTTGTATCATTTTTTAGAACTTGTAATTATATATTGTGTGATTATTTAAAGCCTGTCTCCTATTAGAATATATGCTAGTAGCTATTTCATTTTTATTTCTCAAGAATTTGTTAAGTGAATAAGTAAACTGGAGCTTGTTTTAGGAACCATCATGTCTTTTGGAAGCACTAGTTTAAATCTTGTCATCTGATGACAAGCACCTTTTCACTCTTCAGACAAAGGACACAAAAGAAAAACCCAAGAGTTTTCTGGCTATGGATGATTTTACTCATTCTTAGGTCATAAAAATCATTCAGATTTTAGACTCTGAATTGAAGATAAACTTTATCTAGGTCGATTTCTCCTTTTTAGTCATATACTAAATTTATCTCTCTGCGTTTGTTTTATGGATCTTTTTAGGAAAGAAAGCTCTTAGAAATCAGAGCAGTGGTTTATATATTTTAACAACAGGTTAAACTATGAGCATAGTGAGGATGAGGATTTCAAAAATAAATAAAGTAAAATTCCACATTTAAGTTATTGGTGGATGTGGAAAATATTAAAATTTAATAATTTGTGTATATAGAACAGAATTTGTGTTGAAAAATAGGAAATAAATATAGGAAGTGTATGAGTGCCAAACACAGGCATTTGGATTTATTTTATGTGTAGTGGTCTGTTAAAAATTTTGGGAGAATGTTTCAGTTAAGCAGGATGAAAACATTCTAGAGATATGCTCTACAGCATGGTACCTATAGTTAACAATATCATATTGTACATTTAAGGTTTTGTTAAGAGGATAGATCTCATATCAAGTATTTTTACCATAGTAAAATAAAATTTAAAAAAAAAATGGGGATGAATTGGCTTCAGTAACAAGTATTTAGCACTTACTAAGTGCTTGTATTTTGTTGTAGTACAAAAGAAATAAGGTTCCTGCCCCGCCCTTCACTTAGGAGAAGGTTAAGGAGACAGGTAGTGCACGCTTCACTTGGTAAGAGAGAGAGTAGTTCTTTAGAAAGGGTATGGTAGGGTACAGAATTCATTGGATAGAATCATCCTGAGAGAATGGAGACTGGAAAGTGATTGTTGCTGCAAGTCATTGATGAGGATGCAATGTGGTAGTGGTTAAAAACGTGGGTTCTGGTGTTAGACATAGTTTTGTCTCTTAATGAGTCTGTAACCATGGATAAATTAACTTAATCTTTCTAAGCCTCAGTTTCCTCATCTGTAAAACAAAGATAATAATCCCTGTCTTATAAGATTATTGGGAAAATTAAATGAAATAATGCATGCATGGTACTTAGCACTATGCTTAGTAAATAATTGCATAATAAACATTAGGTGGGAGTGATGGCAAAATGAGTTTCTGAATCAGGGTAGCAGCTATGAAAAGGCTGGGTTTTAGATGAATGAGAATGAGGGTAAAGCTGATGCTAAATTTTCTTTGCCTGAATGATGGTGGAAGAAAAATGTAGACAAGTCTGGGAGCCTCCAATAACAAGGGCATGGACTATATCATCTTCATGTTGGTATTCTTTCCACAGTGCTATCAAATTAAAGTAGCTAAGTCATTTTTTTACTAAGTGAACAAATGAGTTTAAAGTTGATATTATAGCATTCAAGAGGGCAGTGAAAGATGTTTGGTTAGAACTTCAGGGAAAGCTGAGGCTTAGCCTAAATTTGAGAAACAAAACCCATGAAGAAAAGTAAAAACAAAATTTACCTTTTGAAATTTGTATCAACACATCATGGAAATGGTATCTTAAGACTTAAGACATCATTATGTAACAATGTTTATAAAGTCAACAAAGAATATAGTCTTTTTCACTGTCTTCTTAGTTTCAAAATGTAGCAGGGATAAATACACCAAGAACACAAACGGATAAGGTACAGGCCTGAAATCCCTCATTTTGCACAGCAGATATATCCCTAAAGTTTATTGATTGTGTGCATATGTGTGTATCTTAAGCATTATATTTTAAATGTTTTCAGTAAGGTAGTTTGTAGTTTTTAAATAATCAAAAAATTCATCTTTGTTGTATAAACAATTGCTTTCTTTTTTTGGTTTGTTTTAATTTTGTAAATTGGATTCTTTTAAAAAGGCACACTTATATTTTCTTTAGCTGAGTTGATGGCTTCCGGAGAACTGGCATAGCTGCAAAATATGAGTAGTTCCCCAAGAAGAGTGCATTGCCTTTGGCACAAGGATCAGAATAAAGGTGAATTGTTATTACATAGGGTTTTTCAGTAAAAGTCACTGAAAAGTAAGTAATGTTTCTATTTTGGATGTATGTTTCCAAGAGTATGCAAATTGAAAAGAATTAACAGTTTTCTATCTTCTATTTTGTAGTAATGGTTTCATTTTAGCATGCTTGCTTTACCACAAAACACCCCCTAGATAAGGATGTTTTCAGAGCAATACCTAAAATATGTGCATTTAAATAACTGTATAGGGTACAGAAACATATTTGTCAGTATTATTGATTGCGCTTTCATAGAATGCTCAAAGTTGAACGGTAATTTTAATAATTGTGAAAAAAGGTAAAGAGGAATCTCTTTGGACCTACTTAAAGAATAATTTGATTTTGTTATACTTTGTCTTAATAATGTTGCTTTAATAGGGAATTAACATTATAGAGTTCAAATAAACCTCACTGTCCAAGGTTCATAGAAAGTTTAACTGTTAGCACTGGATCATGCTACATACTGAAAAACAAAATTAGTTTTTTTTTCTCTTCACGGAATAGGGCAAACCTTGATAGTATAATGAATGTACAAAAGTAGATATAGTTAATTCATTTAGTGCAAGAGCCGGGAATGGACTAAATTAAGAGATTAAGAAAAAGTTTTGTTGGCTCTACAAATTTTATGTCCCGTACCTTTTAGGGTTTTTTTTTTTTTTTCCTTAGAGGAAAGAAAGGTTGCTAGTAGAAATAGTTAAGGAAGTGTTCAGTATCTGAAGTAAAATTTCATACACTTAAAACTTAGCATCAAGGGGCACCTGGGTGGCTCAGTTGGTTAAGCAACTGCCTTTGGCTGGGGTCATGATCTCAGGGTCCTGGAATCGAGCCCCGCATTGGGCTCCCTGCTCGGCGGGAAGCCTGCTTCTCCCTTTCCCACTCCCCCTGCTTGTGTTCCCTCTCTCACTGTCTCTATGTCAAATAAATAAATAAAATCTTTAAAAAAACCCAAAAAGTTAGCATCAAAATGTTTGAGAATTTGGGGTGCCTGGTGGCTCAGATGGTTAAGCGTCTGCCTTCGGCTCAGGTCATGATCCCAGGGCCCTGGGATCAAGCCCCACATTGGGCTCCCTGCACGGTGGGGAGTCCGCTTCTCCCTCTCCCTTTATTGTTCCCCCTGCTTGTGCTCTCTGTCAAATAAATAAATAAAATCTTTAAAAAAAAATGATGTTTGAGAATTGTACAGAGAAATTGTATATAGAAACAGAAGTAACCAGGGATGCTTGGGTGGCTCAGTTGGTTAAGCATCTGCCTTTGGCTCAGGTCATGATCCCGTGGTCCTGGGATCAAGTCCCCCATCAGGCTCTTTGCTCAGCAGGGAGCCTGCTTCTCGCTCTGCCTGCTCTGCCTGCTCTGCCTGCCACTCCCCCTGCTTGTGCTTTCTCTCGCTCTAATAAATAAGTAAAAATAAAACAGAAGTAAACAATAAAATTTTTTATTTTTTTTTAAGATTTTATTTGAGAGAGTGAGAGAGAGAGAAGGAGCAGGGGGAGGGGCAGAGGAAGAGGGAGAAGCAAACTCCCCGCTGAGCAGGGAGCCAGACGTGGAGCTCAGTCCTGGGACTCTTGGATCACGACCCAAGCCGAAGGCAGATGCTTAACCTTCTGAGCCACCCAGGTGCCCTAAAATTTATTTCTCATGTGCTTTAGTGAACTTCGAAATCTTCACCTCCAGTTTTGTTAAATAATGTAATTTTTAAAGATATGTTTTGTTAGAGGAATTTAAGGTGACGTTAATTACTTTTGGTCTGTAAAGAAAACACTAAGATAACGGAGTTTTGTATTCTCTCTTAATTTGGTACCCTGACCCATAATGACATATAAGGAAAGGTGAGGGAATTTGGTAGAACTCTTAAAGTGGAGTTTCACTGAGCAATGAATAATATAAATACCAGTTTAAGCAAGTTTACTAATGTTTTTGTTTTAATGCATTCTGTAACTGCATATTCTTGTTCTTCCACAAATGATTTTTCTCATTGAATTTTTTTTAAGAGATTTTATTTATTTATTTGACAGAGCGAGCACAAGCAGGGGGAGCAGCAGAGGTAGAGGGAGAAGCAGGCTCCCTGCTGAGCAGGGAGCTGGATGTGGGGCTCTGTCCCAGGACTCTGGGATCATGACCTGAGCTGAAGGCAGATGCTTAACCGACTGAGCCATGCAGGCACCCCTCTCATTGAATTTTGATAAGATATGAGGACAACTTTGCATTTAGTAGAGAAATTCAGATGCACATAGAAAAGACTTAGATGCAGTGTTCAAAAGATGAGTTATATGTAGTACAGTGTATAGTGATACTTTTATAAAGAGCTTAGTAAATATAATCCTATATTTAAGAAGGATTTATGGTTTCAGTATCTGCTGTTGTATATTTTAACAGCAAATTGAATAGAATTGATAGTGCTGATTTCATTATCCTTGAATAATAAGTTTGTTTCTTGTGTGTCAGAGGCTATCATAATGGGGACTCAGAGTTTAAAAAACATATTCCCTGTCTTCAAATAGCAAAGTGTAGATAGAGTCAAAGAAGTAAACAGTTTATGATACATTGTTATACTAGAAGTAAGACAGGGTAAGCAGGAGAATACAGAAGCTTGAAACAGTCTCAGTGTGGTAATGGGGTGAGAGAAAAAGTGAAAGGTAGCTAGGAAAGCCTTCTTAAAGAAGATAACATCTCAGCTGAGCCTTGATTTTATAGCCAAGAGAAGAAATCAAGGGGGGTTTTGGGGGATGGGGAGAGTCCATACAAATTCTCCAGAGATGAACCACAGTGCATGCAAAGGTATAGTGGCATGAGAACATAAGGCTTTTGGGGGGAAATTATTTAGTTCAGATGACTGGATTTGGAGGGCTTGCTGGGGATAAAGAAGTAATTAGGGTCTGGATCATGAAAGGTGTTTATGTCATGTTAATTAGTCTAGATTTTATTGTGAGGGCGGTGGGTAGCTATTGAATGATATTAAGGAGGAGAATGATGTGATTTGATCTACAGTTCATTATGATAAAGATGTCGGAAAGGTGTATGGAGGTAGAATTGAGAGGACTCTACCATGATCTTCCATTTCCAATCCAATACCAGTAATCGTCAAGAGAAATCAAAGATAATTCTTATGTTTCTGGATGGACAACTGGGGTAGGAGAGGGGTCACATATTCTTGGCAGTGTTGAGAGCAGAGTGGAAAAAAGTCTAAGGACACATCTAGACAATGAAGCACCAAATTATTAATTGCAAAAAAAGTATACAAACACACATTGCTGGTCCAAAATTCTGTAGTTACTAGTTTGAGCAGTGCCATGTTAACAGGTCTATAAACAGTGGTGGACTCTGTTACTTTAATGGATTCATATCCCTAGTAAATTATCCTATCTAAATCTGGCCAAAGTAGGCATTCAAATAATTTGATAAAATGAGTGAATAGTAATGGAGGACTTAAAATGCATAACACCTTTTAACTATTCAAAGTGTTTTCACATCTCTTTTTAAATTTTATTCCCAGTTATTTGATATACAGTACCTAGAGGCCTCAAACTAGAGGGCCCCAGGCTGTATCCTGCCTATAGGTGGGTTTTGTTTGATTTGTAGCTTTTAAAAATAAATTTGAATTCATTGCCCAAAATTTAAAATGGGCAGTTTTACATAAATATTTGGAACTCATTTTCTTGAAAAGGTCAATGATCTGGCAATAACTGGGTTAACTAATTCTACATGGTAAAATTAGTTAGATTTCAGTGGTAGTTTTCATAGCTTGCCTGCTTAAGTCATGTCACCTGCCTGGCCCCAATAGGCAGTTGAGTTCGACCCCTATTAACAGCTTATTTATCAGAGGTCTTTGGAGAAAGGTGTTGCAGGCAAGGAATAAATTCAGAAAGTAGACACTAATTTCATTCATATTAAAGCTTTTGTCTGTTGGGTGCCTAATGTGTGCTATTTCACTTAGTTATGCAATACTATGGCATTTGCTATTCCTGTTTACGTTTGAGAAAACTAATAGAAAGGGAAATTATAAATTAGGGACAGCTGGTTCCTAATAGGTCTCCTGTGTTTTTCTTTTGTATACTACTTTTTTTAAGCTTTTCTAGTTGTTTAGGCAGAGGCAAAGTATGATTTTTAATTTCTTAAATTATAAGCAAGAGTCTGTATTGGCAATGTTTTTTTATTTTTTTCAAAGATTTTACTTATTTATTTGAGGAGGGGGAAAAGCAGGCTGTCCACTGAGCAGGGAGCCCCATGACGATGTAGGGGCTCAATCCCAGGTCCCTGGGATCACGACCTGAGCCAAAGGCAGATGTGCAACTGACTGAGCCACCCAGGCACCCCTGTATTAGCACTGTTTTTAGAGATTTGAGAAAAGTATAAATAAAATGTTTTAATAATTTTAGAGGATTGTGCGTATGTTTATATATATGGATATAATACATAACACTAACATTCTTTGCTATAATTGTATTTACTTGCTGATATTTGGTAAGCTAGTTTGAAGGTTTTAGATATTGTTATTGATATAAGTAATTTTTAAGTATTTAGAAGTTCATTCAGAAATTTGAATGTTTGTCAGAAATAAAATTGCTAAAAATTCTTTCCACTTTATGGTAGTATTAAGCATCAGTGCTAGGTTGGTTCTTAGGAAGAGAGGTTTTTTCTGTTAGTTTTGCCTAAAGAATAAATTACTTTCTCAGTATAATTCTGGAAGTTAAATTAATTTGATTATTCTTAACGATTTTTTTATTCATTTAGTGTCTTCAGTACATGTGGATATGCTTATACTACTGACTGGGAGAAGGAGTTGTTTTGTGATAGGATTTGATATTTGGGGAAGAACTCCATTCTAAAATGGAGTCAGCTGACTGAAAATATTTTTTAACTTACATTTGAAATTCAGGACCCTTTAGCATTCATGAAGGAAGATAAAAGCTGGTTATACTGCTGTGGGCAATCACTTTAACAATGGAATCTTTAGTATTCCTGATTGACATGCCTTTAGTGGCAGCAATCGGTTATTAATGGTGCAAAATTGAAAATTTAGGCACTAATAGGGCATAGATCCTGGACATATGGCAAAGAAGGGAACACGTAGAGAAGAAATAAAGGTGGGTAGATTTAGTCCCTGACATTCGGTGACATTTAGTTGTCTTTCTTGTGCCTATCAGCTAATCAAGGCCTTTGAGGTTGGTTAATAAAAAGTGTATTGAAATAGAGAAAAGGACATAACATGGTTTATTAAATGCTCTGTCAAACTCTTAATCACTCTTATCTTAGGAAATTGTGACTTACTATTTTATTTTTCTTCCATAGAATCTGTCAGGTGAAGGTGTATTTTTGCTTTTTAATTTGGCTAGAAGCAATTTATTTTTAAAGAAAGTATGTCTCCTCTGAAGATACACGGTCCTATCAGAATTCGAAGTATGCAGACTGGAATTACAAAATGGAAAGAAGGGTCCTTTGAAATTGTGGAAAAAGAGAATAAAGTCAGCCTGGTAGTTCACTACAACACTGGAGGAATTCCAAGGATATTTCAGGTATTACCATATTTTGATGTGGAATAGATCTTGAAATCACAGCCTTTAGTGAATACCTTCCCTGTACCATAGTAAGTATAATGGTAGCCCTCCTCCTAGATTAACATTTCTTCTTATTTCCAGGACACTAATAGTTTTGTGTGCATATTTTATGAATTATTCAACACTATCATTGATGGTGTATAATAAAGAGCAGGAAGTAGTCACCATTATTGAAAAGAAAACTAGGAGGAAGCTGAGAAGAACTGAGTTTGGATACTTTTCTATCAAGCTATCTTAAAAACCACATTAGGATAACTTTTTAGTTATTCCCCTTTTTTCCTTAGTATATATAATAGATTCATCACTGTGTAGTATTAGCTTTTAATAGCACTTAGTAGAGTCTTCTAAAACCTAATGCCTCCTTCCTAAATAATCCTGCAAAGGTTGTGGTATGGGCCATTCAAGGATGATTATTCAAGGTCATCCTTACTGCTGTTTTCTTCTAATTGTAAACTTTTGAAGAATTTCATTATTTTATCACTGCAAAAAATAGTTAATTTTGTTTTTACTTCTATACTCTTTATTCTTTGCAGCTAAGAGCTGCTTATCTTGATACGATTTGAATTTAAGAAAGCAATATATTTTTCTGCACTTTAAAATTCTGTATTTGTTAATTAGATAATATAAAAGTATGGTATTCTAAACTGAAGTACTCTCTTGAATAACAGTTTATGAAATTTTATGCTTGAGAACCCTAGAGCTGGGGTAAAAATTCCATTTCTGTTTGCTTTTGAACTATGAAAATAAATTGCTTATAATTTTGTGTATCAAAGATACTCTTAAATAGATTGGAGGTGTAGATTGGAGGTGGTGACATGGGTAATAGAAACAATAGTAGTTTCTGCCACATACATGTATCTACTAATTGCTCATCTCAATGAAAGAAAGATTCCTTTTCAAATAGAGATTTGGTTTCTCAGTCCTCAGCCCAAATTAGCAGTCGGTAAATATTTAAATATTTAAGAAAACATAGTTCTTTAGGAGTATGAGGATTCTGCCTATGATTCCAGCCTCATTGCAGTTCTAGATCAGTTCCTGTTCAGCATTTATTTTGCTAACCACCTACAGATTACTGTGGTGGATACTGTACCAAGGCTTAATAATACAGAGCTGAATGAGATGCTTTTCTTCTTACTTAAGCGTAATCAGAAGCATTTTCAGATGTAAAGATATTTCAGAGACATTGAAATAATGCAAAGAAGAGAGTGGTTTGTGTCCTGAGCATTTAGAGGATAAATAGGAGTTTGCCAAACAGTGGAGGTAGGGTAGAGGTGATTTCTGTCCATGGACATACACATGCAAGCGTGAATCAACCCTCAGGGAACCAGAAAATTATTTAAAAATAAACGGGCAGTAGGGAGTGCGTGGCAGAAGTAGAGGCTGAAGAGCTAGATATGAACCAGATCTTGAAGTATCTTATTTGTCATACTAAGAGGAGCTTAGATTCTAAGGAGTCAAGAATCTCAAGTTCAGATTCATTTAGGGGCTAGGCAGATGACTTTATTTCAAGAGATAGTGGAAGAATAAGGACATATAGGAGGAGGTTGTGGGAATTTAGATGAAGAATAAAAGTCCTAATCAAAGGATAGGACAGTAGGAAGAAACAGGAGGAAAGAATAGATTTGAAGAGATTTCAAGATGACTTGACTCATTAGATTTAGGGGGGTGAGAAAGAAAAGACTTGGGAGATTCCCAAGTTTCTGAGTGGATGGCAGTGCCTTTCATGTCTTGGTAGGGAGCAGAGGGAAAGAACTGGGGTGGGAGGATTAAGAGAAATTAGTTGTTTGAGGTGTCAGGCATTCAGATGTTGGTATCTAATAGGCGTTAGGTAAACAGGACTGGAACTCCAACAGAGAGGTCTGGACTTAGAGGAAAGATGGAAGGCCTCACCGTATGGTGGTTAATAAAATTATGGGTTTGATAGGATTTTCAGTTGTTGAAGACCTCAGGTTCAAGATTATTCTCTCATCTTGTTTATGAACAAGCTTTTCCCCTTAATGTATTTAACTTTCATTTTTAAAAAGTGGTATACTGACTGAAATAGTGGTTTTATGTGATCTCTTTTCTTTTGCATATTAAGCTCCTTGTTTAAATATTTTGGAGTTAAACCCTCTGAAACTATTGTGTTTTACAGAATTTTTACTCAAGGACATGAATTTAAGACCTGCTTTGAATATATATATAGATAGATAGATAGATAAACACACACACACGTATAATTTAAAACTTGAATATAAATTAAGTCTGATAAAATTATATTTACATTCCTATTTAAAATATTTAAATTAGAATTGACAGATCAATTCTAGTTTAAAAAATATAAAATGCTATTCTTTCTTAATGTTATTCAAAGGGTATGTCTTCAGCAAAAGGCAGCTTTTGAAACCTTTGTATATGCCTGCTGAGGGAGCACATTAGAGAATAAAGATGCCTAGTTGGCAAGAATTATTTAGGTAGTAAACTGTAAGATTTCAATTTGGTCTTGGAAAAATTTCAGCCAAGAGAAAATAAAAGTTATCACTTCATGATACATACCCAGAATCTGGAAGAGTATAAGACAAATTATTGAACCAGTTCTAGGGAATGGAAGAAGTAAGCTAAAAGAGTTTCCAGAGTGCTCATGATCTTCATGACTGTATGAAAGTTAAATGAGCCTGCTTAGACAGTTAAAAAAAGAAAGATGGGGGTGCCTGCTGGCTTAGTGGGTAGAGCATCAGACTCTTGATCTCAAGGCTGTAAGAACCCCATATTGGGAGTAGGGATTACTTAAAAATAGAGTCTTTAAAAAAATGTGTGTGTGTGTGTGTGTGTATACATATACGTTTATACATATATATATATATAAAGAAAAGGATGCTTTCTTACATTGATAAAGGTTTATTTTGATTTGTTTTTGAGAGGTGGAATTCTTTTCCGGAATATAGTTTGGATTAATAAATCCTTTGAAATTACAGCTACCTGAACCAATTGCCAGATAGTTTACAGGTTTAAAAAAGGGGGGCGGGGGAGAAAAAGAAAGCCTCTAGCACAATATGGCTTTCTAAACTAGTGCTAGTGTAACCATCTAAGCTCTGTAAATTGTTAACTCAATAGTTTTTATAGCTTTATAACTATACCTGAAAATATGCAATTCCCTACCATAAAATCAATAGTGCTAGGGTTACTTTGTAAAATAATTTTTAATAGTAGGTGTTTGCTTTTCCTAAAAGTAAAATCTTTGATTTAAGTGTATCAAGAAATGGGAACTCTTTTTGGTTGGGGGGAAAAACCCTAAATTAATACAGGAAAGACTAAGAAATGTAATTTAGAAAGTATAAAGTATAACTTACTTTATGATACTTTGTTATACATTTTTAACAGAAACATAATTTTCCTTTTGTATTAATTAGTTAAGTCATAACATTAAAAATGTGGTGCTTCGACCCAGTGGAGCGAAACAAAGCCGCCTAATGTTAACTCTACAGGATAACAGCTTCTTATCTATTGACAAAGTACCAAGTAAGGATGCAGAGGAAATGAGGTTGTTTCTAGATGCAGTCCATCAAAACAGACTTCATGCAGGTGAGCACTAATCTTCCCAGGGTTTGCCATTAACAGTTATAAAAGAATATTACTAGATAGTAGTAGATCCGTATCACTGATGAATATTGATAGAAAAATCCCCAACAAAATACTGGCAGTGAATTCAACAGTACATTAAAAGGATTATATACCGGGGCAACTGCATGGCTCAGTCAGTTAAGCATCCCACTGTTGATTTTGGCTCAAGTCATGATCTCAGAGTCATGGGATTGAGGCCCCCCCGCCCCATCAGGCTCGGTATTCAGCATGAGTCTGCTTGTTCCTCTGCCCTCCCCCCATCGCATGCACACTCTCTCTCTCAAATAAATAAAATCTTAAAAAAAGGATTATATACTATGACCAAGTGGGATTTATTTCTGGAATGCAGGGATGGTTCAACATATGAAAAATCAATGTGATGCACCAAATGAGAGAATGAAGGACAAAAGCCATGTTATCCTCTTCATACAGAAAAAGCATTTGATAAAATTCAAAACACTTTCACGATAAAAACACTCAACAAACTAGGAATAGAGGGAAACTACCTTAAAATAAAGGCCGTATATGAAAAGCCCACAGCTATACTCAACAATGAAAAGTGGAAAGATTTTCCTTTAAGATAAGGAACAAGGCAAGGATGCCCTCTCCTACTATCCAACATAATACTAGAAGTCCTAGCCAGGGCACTTGGGCAAGAAATAGAAATGAAATTCATCTTAATTTAGAAAGGAAGAAGTAGGGGCGCCTGGTTGGCTCAGTCTGGAAAGCATGTGACCCTTGATCTTTGGGTCATGAGTTCAAGCCCCACATTGGGCGTAGAAGGGGAGGTAGTAAAATTATCTCTGTTCTCTGATGATATGATTCTATATGTAGAAAACCCTAAAGTTTCCACAAAAGAATATGGCTAGCAGAGGAGGAGGATTTAAATTATAATTGGAAAGAGTCGTATTGTTATATGTCTTAGATACTTGTCTTTCTCTGTATGAGACTTATTCCGTGGTTTTACTCTTGCTACGAAGACAGCAAGTACTGTAGAAAACCATATACAGTATTATCAGATTCCCCTGCCCCTTCTTAATACCCTTTCATTTAAAATGTTTTGATTTTTTTAAATGTTTTAATAGATCTTAAGAAATAATCTAGTGCTTAAAATGAGTTTTCCACTATTACTGTTACTCTCCAGCTCTATTAACATCGAAACTTTATTACTAATATTTTAGAGTTGACAGACTTTTAATTGAGCTTTTTAACTTAAATGTAATAAAAATATTAGAAAATGAAGATGTAGCAGTGCTACTTTGTATTATTATCTGATACACTGTTTTCCTTGTAAAATTAAAAAAAATTATAGTTGTTTGCTATTTAATACCAACTCATGTGTTACATGTTTCCTTGGTATCCATTGTCAGCGTTCATGCCATAGACACACACTGACTTTTCTGTAGTGTTAATTACCAGATATTTATATAGGAGAATTTCTAGCATTTTCATTTTGCATTTAAAATTTTATTTTTCTGTTACATTTTCCCAAATTTGTGCATGTTATTTCATTTTTTGCTTGAGACTCTAGCTCCGAATTTTAATTACTATTTAGATCAGGTATACTTTTTAGAAAGTATGCTTCTTTTTTATGCTTCTATTTTTTTCAGTATTCTATAACGATGATTACGTCTCTTAATTAAAGTAAATGACTTGGAGTTTATTTATTTTCCCCCCACCAGCCATGAAACCTTCTCAGGGGTCTGGTAGTTTTGGAGCTATTCTGGGCAGCAGGACTTCACAGAAGGAAACCAACAGGCAGCTTTCTTACTCAGACAATCAGGTATGTTCATTTGAATCTTTCTAGCTTTTAAGCAAAGTTACAATCAACTATTATGAAAATCTTTTCAAAATTTATCACATACTAACCCTTCTTACATGTAGTTTTACTAAACACATAACTTGTGCTTTATGTCTCATGGTCATCATTATGAACCACAGTAAAGTGTAGTTTTTAAAGGCATAATTTTGGAGTTGGATGTGGGTTTGAGATTTCGTGCTGCTACTTAGTTGTTATGGGTTATTGAAGAAGTTCCTTAAGTATCCTGAGCCTTACTCAGGATTGTAAAATTGAAGCAGCAGTAATATTTTAAGGATTGCTGTGAGATAATGCATGTAAAAGTGCTTATTAGCCTACAATACCATGTACTAACAATGCTATAAATATTTGCTACTATTTCTGTGATGCCCTTTAGGTCTGTTGTGCATTATGAACATATGATACCAGACTGTTTTGTTGAGGTCTTCTGTTTGCTTTTTAAATAGTTTCTCTCTCATAAATATTCAGATAGCCATGAGACTTGCTTTGTACTATTACAAGTTAGCAGTCCTATGTCTCTGAAAATTTATTCTGTGAAGAGAAACCAGGCATAAAGTAAGAAGAACTTGGAAACTATTCTCTAAGTAAATTGATGAGTTCTGCTGGCTGTGCAGAGAGGTGATTACTTAGTCCATTTGCTGTGCAGTGAATAAGATTTTATTTTTGTTAGTTTTTTTTAATAGGTTCTGAGGCTTTTTTTTTTTTACATTTTAATTGAGGCATAATTGACATGCTCTAAATTGCACATATTTTTGAAGTATACAATTTGATATGTTTTGACTTATGTGTATACATGTAAAATTATCACCATAATCAACCAAGGGAACATAACCATAACCCTTAAAAGTTTCCTCATTCCTCTTTGTAATCCTTCCTTCCTGCCTTCTCTCTGGTCCCTATTCCTAAACCACAACTGGTTTGCTTTCTGTCACTATAGATTAGTTTGCATTTTCTAGAGTTTCATGTAAATGGAATCAGTGTGTAATTTTTTTTTGTCTAGCTTTTTCACTCATTGTAATTATTTTGAGATTCATCTATGGGTAGAAATTTAAACTATTAGAATACTTAAATATATAGGTGTTATATATAACAAGCAAATATTTATACTCTCACTTCTTCTCCGGGGGATTGTAAAATCAATTTTATGGGTCATAACTGGGATTAAATAAAGGAACAGAACAGAAATGAGGAGGTATTGTACATAGTAAGGATAAGTATTGATTTCTGAAACTTTTGGTTATTTATATGTATATGTAATAGTTGTGATGTAAAATACTTCTAAGTGGAGGTCATGGTCAAAAAGGTTAAAAATGCAAAACAGTGTACACATAGTATTCTACCACTTGTATAACAAAAAGGATTTGCTTTACATTTACATAAAGAAGAATACTTACAAGGGACAAGAGAATGGGAATGAAAGAATTGGGTATATGGCAGTGGGTGATAATGAGACATCTCAGGAAATGACCTTGATAATAGTATTTTGATTTTTGAATCTTGAGAATGTATCGCCCATTTGAAAATAAATTCTAACTTTTAAAAACTGTTCATTCAGATGATCTCAGAGATTCTTTCCTCTGCTAACATTGTACATAATTCTGTAGAGAAAGAAATTGGAAATTTCTTCAATAGACAAATCACATAGCTTTTAATCTAGTTGTAAAATGTACTGGCAGAATGCTGGTCAAAAACACTATTTCCCAATAATGTTTAAATTGCTGTATTCACTCTGTTGTTCTTGCTGTGTCTTTAAGGTATTCTCTTTGATTCATCTTCTGCCAGTGGACTCTCTTTCACTTTCTTTCTCCCCATCAAAAGTCACATGAGGTATTTGTTTGTGACTTGGCATTTAGGTCGTGGCAACCAAATGTCGTTGCTCCTTTTTCCCACATTTATGTCACTTTATCATAATCATAATTGGATTGTTTTTCTCTGAAGATTTATTTTCATCCTTATCACTAGAATCACATCTTGTGTACCTGAGTCTTTTCTTAAAAAGTTAGGTATTCAAAGCAAATTCCTTTCTGCCTCTAGTCATGTTGTGGAAATTTTAAATTTATAGGAGTGCTAGAAGAAAATAAGTGTCAAGTTCAATTTCTGATACAGATTGTACATTACAATCAGCTAGAGTGTTTTAAAAAAAACTGATGAATGGGCTTCACCCCAGGCCAGTTAGGCTAGAATGTCTGGAGATGGGTTTCCAGTTGTATTTTTTAAAATTGATTCCACATGAGAATCAATGATCTAAAAGCATGACAATTAATTTGAATATTTAGCTATGTTAAACTTTACTCTTACAGGCATCTTCAAAAAGAGGAAGTTTGGAAACTAAAGATGATATTCCATTTCGAAAAGTTCTTGGTAATCCAGGTAGAGGGTCAATTAAGACTGCAACAGGAAGTGGACTACCTGTCACCCGGACAATTCCCTCTTTGACATCTACATCAACCCCTCTTAGATCAGGGTTATTAGAAAATAGGTATGGAAGACTTATTTTTTTTTCTTAGTCATTAGGTGCGCTTGTTTATAAATGTCTTTTTGGTCTTTTAGAAAGACGAATACTTTGAGAAAAAGGAGATTGTCCAGTTAGTAAAATATGTTAGAAGAATGTATACATTTTATACCTTTTATAAAAAGTATATATTTTTAGTAGGTAATTAGTATTGGTTTTTTTATGATTTATGTCAGTGACACGGAGCATGCAGATATACAGTATTTTTTTTTTAAGGATTTGATTTATTCATTTGAGAGAGAGACAGAGCACAAGCACGGGGAGAGGCAGAGGGAGAGGGAGAAGCAGACTCCCGCTGAGCTGGGAGCCTGACATGGGGCTCCATCCCAGGACCTGGAGATCATGACCTGAGCCGAAGGCAGACGCTTAACCATCTGAGCCACCCAGGCGTCCTAGATATACAGTATATTAATCAAAAACGTGGTGTAGAGAACTAGGCAGCAGTAGTCACAGTTCTGTCCTTGAATATGTTGGTTTATACTTCTTAATGGTATGAATTATGACTTTTTTAAATAACTTTTTTTCTTTGTCCTCTACAGGACTGAAAAGAGGAAAAGAATGTTATCTGGCTCAGAGTTGAGTGAAGATTACCCTAAGGAAAATGATTCATCATCGTAAGTTGCTTTAAGAACCCTTGTGGCCCTAGGGGCGCCTAGGTGGCTCAGTCAGTTAAGTGTCTGCCTTTAGCTCAGGTTGTGATCTGAAGGTCCTGGGATCGAACCCCAAGTCAGGCTCCTTGCTCAGCAGGGAGTTTGCTTCTCCCTCTCTCTGCCCTCCCTCCCTCCCTCCCCCCCGCCCCCCGCCCGTGCTCTTTCTCTCTCTCAAATAAAATCCTTAATAAAAAAAACCCTTATGGCACTAGGTCAGTGTTTCTCATATTGGTAATTACACTCACTGAGGAAAATTGGTGGAGGGGAGGGGTTCAATTTATGAGAATTCTAAAGATAGAATTTAAAGTATTTTGGGGGCACCTGGGTGGCTCAGTTGGTTAAGTGTCTGCCTTCAGCTTGGGTCATGTTCTTGGGGTCCTGGGATTGAGCCCTGCGTTGGGCTCCCTGATTGGCAGGGAGTCTGCTGCTTCTCTCTCTCTGTCTGCCCCTCCACCCCACTCATGCTCGCTCACGTGCGCTCTCTCTCTCAAATAAATAAATAAAAAATTTATTTTTTATTAAAATATTAAAAAAAATTTTAATTTTGGTGATGGTAGATTATAGACTTCATAGAGAGTATTTGGCCATTACTGTTGCATTGATCGTTTCATTGCCCTTCTCCCATCCTGGCTTTTTTTAATCTGCAATACTTAGAGGAAGAATAGAATTGAATAACTCTAAGCAGATGTTTCCTTTTTTTTTTATTTTTTTTGTTTTTAAAGATTTATTTATTTTAGAGAATGTGCATGAATGGGGGGGCAGAGGGAGAGAGAGGGAGAGGGGAAGCAGATTCTCCACTGAGCAGAGAGCCCCATTTGGGGCTCAATCTCACGACCCTGAGATCATGACCTGAGCCTAAACCAAGAGTTGGATGCTTAACTGACTGAGCCAACCAGGCACCCCTAAGCAGCTGTTTCTTGTTGGCGGCTCTTTTGTTGTGAATTCTTTCCTTCCCTTAACTGTGATTTTTTTTTTTTTTTTTTACCCTCTTCATGTGAAAAGTTAGCCTAGGAGTAAAAGTAAAAGTATTTTTGAACCCAGGGGTGCCTGGGTGGCTCAGTTGGTTTAGGATCCAACTCTTGATTTCAGCTCAGGTCATGATCTCAGGGTCATGATCTCCACATAGTGTGGAGCCTGCTTAAGATTCTCTTTCTTTCCACCCCCAACACCCCCCCGACACGTGAGCATGCTCTTTCTTTAAAAAAAAAAGGGGGGGTTGTGAACCCGACATAGTTTCTAGGCAAGGAACATCAGTCTTTTATAGGTATTTTCTGGTTGAACAAAAGAGGATAGACCTACAGTAAGACAGTCACCAGCTCACAATCTCTTCCTCATCATGGGAGGGTTTTATTTTGTTGTTGTTTTTTTTAATTGTTTGGGGGAGAATACTTGTTACACTGTTATGAAATACCTCAGTTAATATCTTTTTTTTTAAGTTTTTAATTTCCAGTCAACATACAGTGTGATACTTAGTTTCAGGTGTACAATTTTTAGTGATTCAGCACGACATACAACACCCACTACTCATCACAACAAATGTACTCCTTAATCCCCATCACCTTTTTAACCCATCCTCCCACCCACCTCTCCTCTTGTAACTATCAGCTTGTTCTCTATAGTTAAGTGTCTGTTTTTTGGTTTTTCCTCTCTCTTTTTTTCCTCTAGATCATTTGTTTCTTAAATCCCACACATGAGTAAAATAATATGGTATTTGTCCTTCTCTGACTGACTTATTTTGCTTAGCATAATACTCTCTGGCTCCATCCACATCATTGGAAATGGTCAATTAATACCTTAACAGAAATCAGTTGATAGTTAATTAACTGGTATTCTAGATCAAGGGTCACCAGAAGGGAGTTGGGAAAAAGCTAAAGAAACTTTATGTATTTATGGGGATTTTTTTTCTGTTACTGTAACAGATGTAAAACTGAATAGGTGATAGGGCTGGTGTGACATGTGAAACTACAATCACCATGGACTCAGATTCCTTCTACCTTATTGATCTATAATTCTTAATAAGTAGCTTCCATTTTGTGAACCAAGATAGCTGCTTCAGCCTCCACTCTATTTCTGCATGCCTACTGGTGAGAATGGGGAAAGGAACAAAGGCAGGGCATACTGCTTTCCTTTAGGCTGGAAATTGTACACACCACTTCAGTGCACATTGGCCAGAATTTGGTCATATGGTTATATCAGAAATATATGAGAAACTCTGGGAAATATGCCTACCCTAGCCAAATTCTATTATTCTATTTGGAAACAACTAACAGTCTGCTGTAGTTTACCCCTCTAGCCATAGAAATATATCTGTTTATCATTCTTCCCTTCTGTTTAGTCATTGTATCCAGTTCAGAGTCCAGGATCTCTGGGTGATGTGCAGTTCTCTCCATAACGTCTAAGTGTGCCTTAGACCATGTACCTTATGGTCTGATACCTAAAAAAACTAAAAGGCAAGTTCATCTGTATTCCCCACTCCCATCTTCATACATATGTCATTATACATTGCTTGCTTAGACCTAGGATAACCACAATAAAAATTTCCATTTAGAAAAGACAAGAATAGGAAACTTAAGGAGTTGCTGTTCTATGGCAGCAATGAAATCTTGGTAGGCAGAGGTTGTGAAGACAGTGAAGGCAGTAGATTAAGTTCTTGGTTAGCCCTTGTAGCGGTCTCTGTTCTATCCTCCGGGAGAAACTCTCTTCTTCATTGTACTTCATTAGACTCCTGACTTTGTCTTCTGGTAGATTTCCTTTGTCTGTTATCTCTCAAGGCCATAGCTGAACTGGGTTTTGAAGACTGTGTTCTTCCTTGGGGCCATGCAGCTTTTGTAGCCTGCTTGATGCTGATCAAGTTCTGGGAGTATAGAAGTGTCCAGAAATCTAGAAGTTTTAGAAATCTAGAAGTTTCCTTAAAAGTATAACAAACAGGATTTTATAGGCTTGAGAAAGAATTGGGACCAATATTTTTGTTGTTTGGATTTTTTGTTTTAATCTCTTTAGGTTTTGAAATAATTTCAGATTTACAGAAAAGCTGCAAAGACAATATAGAATTTTGCTGTATACCCTTCACCTAGTTTCTCTTAATATTAACATGGAGTTGTTTTTTCACAAACTACTTCCTCAGCTACCTCCTGTCATTGCCTCAGTTTGAGAATCAGAAGCAACTGGATTTTTTTTTGTCCCATATAGTCTCAGATTACCAGACAATTTCAATTCTAGGCCATTGGCACAGAGGGCTGTGTTCCTTTTCATCCTTGATTATAAGGTGGCTAGTCCTTGCCCAAATTTATCTGTCTTGAATAGGACCTTGCTGAAACACAGACCAGTGTTCTTATTGTCTCAATCTTTTCCTTTAGAGCTATAGGTTCAGTAAGTATGCAGTCCGCTTCCCAAGACTACAGATAGCAGGGTTTGGTTTTTTTAAAAATATTTGAGAGAGAGCGTGCGCGCATCCATGCATGTGAGTTGTGGGAGGGGCAGAGGGAGAGAGAGAATCTCAAGCAGACAACCCCCTGAGTGCAGAGCCTGACATGGGCCTTGATCTCACAACCCTGAGATCATGACCTGAGCCAAAACCAAGAGTCAGACGCTCAACCGATTGAGCCACCCAGGTGCCCTTACAGATAACAGTTTTATAAATATTATGTTGTGATTTAACAGTCCTCACCAACTTTCCAATCTGTAATATCTATTTCCTTACTCTCCGCCTTCCTACTGTAGCTAGTGCTATATATTTTAGGTTTGTTATGGTAGCACCCCACTTCTAGTAACAAAATTTGTGTATTCAGGGTCTAGTTGTAGGAAACAAACTTCATTTATCTAGTTTACACATAAAGGTATTTGCCTTTAGAGAGTATGAAATGAGTTACAGAATCATTAGGAAAGCTGAAAAGATAGGCTGTAGGTTAAGCTTGCAGAATGATTTTGAGAGCTATGCCTCAGATCAGGTCACCAAAGATGCTCCTGGCTATCGTCAAAGCTAATAGCTGAATTGGAAATTATCATCTCTGGAACCATGCTGCCACTACCAAGATTAGAAATCTCTATGGAAAAACTGGACACCTCCAAAATGATTTTTTTTGCCATCACAAGGAACAGAACACATGACCTCTGCCTTACTTCCACTTTGCAGATATTATGCAATTATATGTAATTATCTTAATTCTTATTTTGAGCACTAGGAAATGGAGTTTTTTAGCTTTCTGGGTTTTGTAGGACAGATACACTAAAAGGTGGTTGTAATAGACTGTTGCATGCCAGTTTACCATATTCACCACACTTTGGGATCATCCCACTTTTTCCACTTAGAATTCTGTCTGGTGAGCCCTAAATTTCTGATCTTTGTTCTGGACTAATAACACTTTTCACAATATCACAGATTTTTTGAAGTTTGAGTTTCCTAAAAGACTCGATTAAGATACTTGTACAAGTGACTTGTTAAGACAGTGCTCATAGGAGAGATCAAAGTGAAGAAAGTAGGACAGGGAAGGAGAGGAAGCCAAAGAAGGGTGTGATCTCTGTGGGAGAGTAGGCTTCATCTTGATCCAGCAGGGGGCACTGGGCCTGTTCCAACTTGAAGTAAGGAAGATGGGCTTTTATGTTCTCATACTGTACAGTCTTTGGTTCTGTGGCTCTGCCCAAATGGGCAAAATATTTTAAGTATCCCAAAGGCAGTCCTCTGAAGAAGAACCGCAGGTGCTGGCTGTTGAAAACACCCAGTCTGGAGGTGTGAAAAGTATAAAAAGGGATCTGAAGGGCTCTGGTGGAGCATAACTATTAAGTTCATTCCATGTTATCACACATTCTTCACATTGATGCTGCCCAATTTCTGGATGAAGATCTTATAAAAGGAGGATTAGAGGGATGAGCTGTAGTCCTTTTTGTCCTTATTGGTGTAGGTAGCCTTGAGGCTATAACTGATATTATTATCTTTTTCTTCTACCATCCATTTTAGATTTGCTGCATTCTCCACTAATACTTCTCCTGGTCTTGGTGATTTGCCTAGTGATATGACTAAGATCTTCATCCCTGTGGGGATGAGCCCCTGGTCACTATGTGCTTGTGCAGGCCATGGTTGCTGAAATCACCCATTTGTAGTTAAAACTGCACATGACAACACTAAGAGATTCCCTAGTAAGTCCCTGTTATTCCATATTCCTCCTACCCTCATTATCTACCATCAACAGTACCTCCTTATAATAATCAAAGTCAGTTACCCCTGCTAGTATGGCAGTTCCTTTCTTTGCCTGATGCTCTGCCAACATGAGGACCCCAAAATGAGTAGCGGGCATAGCTTTAGATTAAATGGGACTCTTACTGTCCCCACAGGTGAAAAAAAGTTTCCCCTCTGGGAACCAGGACCTGATTTTAATGTCGCTTTAGTGGAATTCTCTGGTGAGCATTAATATGTGAAAAAGATCCTCACCCTTTGTACACATTTCCATATGGCTATTCATATACCTCTTCCATAAATCATTTCTCCCTGATCTTCCAGGCTTGCTACTTGCAGGCCCCTGACTATCCATGCAAACAGTTTGCCACTATCCAGGAATCCATGGCCCACTCTTTTCCCCGCACAAAGTGGATAATGAAGTGCACCTTTCAAACCCTGCACAGTGGAGGATTTCCTTTCACCATTCTCTTTTTGGGCAGTCCCATAATGGGTCTATAGTGCAACAGCAGTTCATTTTCATCCTCTAGCAAGATACAAAGATGATGTACCCATGAATCAGGCTAGGTTTTTCTTCCTCTTTCAGTTGGCTATAGGGAGTACTCATAAAGCCTGTTCTTGTTACTTATTCCTGCTTGCTTAGAACTCATCCCAGATATACCACTTCCATTTTATGATGCATTACTGCTGTAACTTCCTGGTCTTAACGACTCTTAGGAGTATGATAGCACCCAGTTCATGATAGCTACTCTGATTGATGACCCATAGTCAGATATTCAGTCTCTTCCAGGCCTTAGTACTATGCCAGGAGTAGTGTGTGATATTTCCTAAGGAATGTGTATATATACATACATATATTTTTTTTTTTTCTTTTCTGGAAACAGCATGTTCTTGTTCTCAAATCCTAAAGATCTGGGCTGCAACTGTCTTTGGATGAGCGATTCTTCATGGTGTTTTGTCTTTAAGTTGGTAATTGGCTCAACTGAATCTATCATTTTCTCCGTTGAACGGATCAGTACTCATAGCAACAGCCAACCAGTACTATAGTCTTTATGGTTATTATTCCATATTACTTGTATCAGTTATCTGTTGCTGTATAACAGATCACTGCAGAACTTAGTGACTTAAAATAGTAACTATTATCGCCTATGAGTTGATGGTGACTTGAGTGGTTCTGCTTATCTGGGCCAGAATTGGCTGATTGTAGCTGGGTACTCTCATTTTCTCATGCATCCATGGTCAATTGGTGGGTTGGCTAGTGGTTGGTCCAGAATGGCCTTACCCATATGACTGGCCATTGGCTGCCTATTGGTTGGGTGATGAGGGTGATTGGGCCCTGTGTCTTTTATCATCTCCTGGGTTGGCCTGGAGTTATTCACGTAGCAGTGTCAGAATTCCAAGAGAGTGAATGTAAATTTGCAAGGTGCCTTTAGCCTTACAATCAGGACTTTATATCACACTATTATATCTGTTGCAATCTTTTGGGGAAAGGAAATCACAAGGCCAGCCCCATTAAGGGGTAGGAAAATAGACTAGACTGCATTTCTTGATGAGGGACCTGGGGACAAGGAAAGGAATAATTTGCGATGTACTTTTAAATTTTTAAAGTTTAATATTTAATATTAAATTTTAAAATTTAATATTAATATTTATTTTAATATTAACTTTTAAATTTGCTTGTTTTAAATGTACAGTTCAGTAATTTTGGGTAAAGTTATTGAGTTGTGCAACCATCACCATAATCTAGTTTTAGAACATTTCTATAACCCCAGTAAGATCCATTGTGTGATCTACCCCATTTCTTGAATGCTAAAGATATTGCATGAGCCATATTATCTTTTAGTTTATCCCATCCCAATTCACTACAGATGAAAAATCGTAGTAATTGTAAACTATAAGGTCCCAAAGGTGTTATCACCAGCAGTGGTATTTCTGTTGCTGTTGCCAAATAAGTGGTCCAGTTCCAGAATCCTCTCCCTGAAATGGAGGTGTGTGTGCAAATTATTAAGAAAGTACTCCCAGGGGATACCAGGAAGGGAGTAGGGAAAGCGAGTGAGTGCAGATTAAATCTGAGTGTGATATCAGACAAAAATTAAGCGGAGGTTAGGCTTCATCCTAATTCCAGAGAGAAAACCTGTTATATAAATTTCACCTTAAAAAATTTTTTACCTTGGGCGCCTGGGTGGCTCAGATGGTTAAGCGTCTGCCTTCGGCTCAGGTCATGATCCCGGGGTCCTGGGATCGAGTCCCGCATCAGGCTTCCTGCTAGGCGGGGAGCCTGCTTCTCCCTCTGCCTCTGCCTCTCTCTCTCTCTCTCTCTGACTTTCATGAATAAATAAATAAAACATTTAAAAAAAAATTTTTTTACCTTAAAGTTATTCTGATCCAAGGCAAGGGAGCTGGGCTTCTTGACCTTACCTGTGACTCTCTCAGAGTGCAGGCAAAGGATCTCTAGTAGCTTGAGGACAATCTGTGAAAAAGAACCCTAGATACTTGCTGTCAAAAACATACCTAAGTTCATGTGGAAGAGAGGACACAAAAATGGGGTCAGAGGGAATCTGGGTATAGAGTATCTGCATTATGTGCCACAGGCTTTATGCATGATGGGCCTCCTAAAATTAGCACTTTTAATCAAAGCATGAGCGTATCTCTGACTGGTCCCACTCCACTTGTATAGGTTCAGGTATTTGGGAATAATAGAGGGGGAAATGCAACTTAAGAAATTTTTAACTGTAGGGGCGCCTGGGTGGCTCAGTCATTAGGCATCTGCCTTTGGCTCAGGTCATGATCTCAGGGTCCTGGGATTGAGCCCCGCATTGGGCTCCTTGCTCTGCGGGCAGCCTGCTTCTCCCTCTCCCACTGCCCTTGCTTGTGTTCCCTCTCTCGCTGTGTCTCTCTGTCAAATAAAAATCTTTAAAAAAAAAAAAAATTTTTTTTAACTATAGGTGAAATGTAAATATTCTGAAATGATAACTATTTAAAATTAAGAACTATCTCTTTATATACCTATATACATATATATATTGAATTAAATTATTAACTGTAGGAACAACAAGGCTATGACAGATCCCTCCAGAAAGTATTTAACCAGCAGCAGAGAGAAGCAGCTGAGTTTGAAACAGTCAGAAGAGAATAGGACATCAGGTAAGTATTTGGTCTTCATATAAGATACCCATTTATTATATGACGTACCTGTATTAGACTAGAAATAAAAACCTAAACTGGGACATATCTCTCTACATTATTCAGGAGTACTGCATGATTCAGTACTAGTTATTGGGTGCCAAATTTGTATCCAGTACTTGGCTAAAGTATTAGAAATATAAGGGAATTTTTATTCTGTTAACAAAGAATCTAACCTTTACCTTCTTCCCTATTTAACTGCCTAAAATTAAACTTTTTCATTATCAAAGTACCTGGACCATAGAATGAATCCAAGGAGTTAAAGTGGTTGAAACTGAATTTTATCAGTGTTGTTACATGTTAGAAGTTCCAGAGGATCTTGGAATTAATTGCCTAAAACAGTTGTTTAAGCTCACATTGTACCCTGTTTTTACAGAAACTAAAAGTTAGGCTGTCCACGAATTGATGTCAGTGTTTCCCACACTTAACGTATCTCTCTGATTCTCTGAACTCTTTAGAGACTCATCTATGTGGTATTGATCTGGATATCATGTCAGCTGGAAATTAAATTGAAGCAAGCTAAAATATGGCATGATTTTGAGAGTTTAAGAGAATTCATTTGATTGGGACTCTAGGAACATTCTTTTAGTGGTTCAGGATTGTGACATTAGACTCCTCCAGAAAGAATTATCTAATATAATTCTTACCTCTGAAATAATAATACATTATGTAAACTCCACTTAAGGGTTTTCAGCTTTTATAATCAACCTATAGTTAGAAAACAATGCTTAAAGATGTAATAAGCCATAACACTGTTGAAGTTAAAATATGTTTTAGAAAGTTGATGCAGGGGCACCTGGGTGCCTCAGTTGGTTAAGCATCTGCCTTCGGCTCAGGTCATGATCCTGGTGTCCTGGAATTGAGCCCCATGTCGGGCTCCCTGCTCAGCAAGGAGCCTGCTTCTCCCTCTCCCTCTGCCTGCCTATCTGCCTACTTGTGATTTCTCTCTCTCTCTCTGTCAAATAAATAAAATCTTAAAAAAAAAAAGTGATGGGGAAGAGGAGAGAGAAGTAAGTGGTCAAGTGATAAGGTTCATAAAACAAAATGTAGAAGGTTTAAGTGTGTTAAAGTTACGAAGTTAATTAGTAAAACTAACATTAACACAACCAATAACTGGTTGGAGAGAAAAGAACAAGAATGGGGTGATGTAAATGAGCAATTTCTGATTTTTCATAATGGAGGTAACTGATACTGTTTATAATGAATAAATTAAGAAATAGTAGAAACATTAGCATTATGAAGGAAATGAGGAAAACTAAGTTTTAAAAAATGGTTAGAAATAAGCACAACTTGTAGAGTTTTGGGGGCAGGAGAGTATTCTTTTCTATTACAACCTTTCCACAGTGTTTGATCTTTTAACATGCATATATATTACTTTGATGAAAAGAAAGGGGGAAAAAGTTAAATATGAACAGGCCTAATGCATAATTTTACTACTAAATGAAATTGAATGGTTGATTTAGGAATTAAATTTTTCCTGTTTGTTTTTTTTAGGGCTTTTACCTTTACAGTCATCATCCTTTTATGGCAGCAGAACTGGATCTAAGGACTACTCCTCTGGTAGCACTAACTTAGACAGGTATGTGTTGGTTATATACCTTGTGAAGGACTTGAAGTGCTCTCTTCTTGAGAATATTGAATTGAAGGGGTAGGCTGTCCATTATGCTCTAAGTGAATAATTTAAAATAACAAAATTGATCAGAATCATAGACTCGTGACATTTTAGTAATCTGGAAATGTTTTAATTTTCAGATGCCCTTTTTTTTTTTTTTTTTTTTTACACTTTTCAGCAAATGTATAAACTGAGGTCTAGGGAGATTTGTACTGAGGCCACAGGTTGTGACTGGCAATGTGATCAGATTCTAGAGCAGTGTGTTTTCCATCATGCCAAGCGATGAACATACTAAGATCTCTCCTGAGACATTTTTAAATTGCCTTTGTTGCCTGTGTATTTGTTAAGCTACTACCAAAAGTTAAGACATTTTCTTTAAAAAAAAAAACAAGCTGTACACAAATTGTACAATTAGTATATTTTACTGAAAAAGGCTACTCAGAAATTTAATTGCTGATCCTGTAGATAGAGATTAAATTTTTTTTGAGATTTATTGAATATAAATATATGAGACAACTGCTGAGTACTTGTGAAGAAGGCATGATCTTGGAATGTAGCCTGGAGGGGCAGTGGTAAATGTAAAAAGGTGAGAGTAATGATGGTGTATAATAGATATACTATATAATGACCTCTGGATACTTTGTTTTTTAGTAGAATTTAATTCTAAGTGGTAAAAAAATCCTGATTATTTTATAAAATGAGGTGAAGTAAAGAATTTGATACTGTATTTTTAGGTCTGTTCAGCCTTGAGTGGTATTTCACTTTAGAACTCCAGTGGTAACTAAGTTATTTGAATTTAAGAGACGTATCTGCTTATTAGAAGAATCTTAAAGGAATCCCAAGTTTTTACAAAAACCTAAATTTAGTTTGCAAATAATTAAACATAGTACAAATTTCTTCTCAAAATAATAGAATTCACTGCACATCAGAATGGCTAAGGAAAATAAATTTTTTTAATGCAAAGCTTAGTTCAAAGATGAAGTGAAAATTTCCAAATCAGTGAGAAAAAAACTGATATTGAGTAAAAGCTGAAGTCATAGGGCACATGGAAAACACAGACTAGAGTCAAGTATTTAGAAAACCAGCATGAGATTGGAAACTGAACATGATTCCAGGCCAGAATTTGGTTTCTTAAATGAAGCTACATATCTAGAACTGCTCTCTCTGCTAATAAACCAAGGCAAAACACTTCTGTAGAACTACTTGGGTTTGGAACCATAAATGTGCTGCTTGCCTGATGCCTCCTGAGCAGAGTGCAAATACACAGAAATGGTAATTTCAGTGACTGGCATCTGTGTTACCAGCATAGGGACAGGAATTCTGAACCTCTAATGTAAAGTCCCATGCAGATTAGAGGTCCCCACTGAGGCAACTACTGAACAAGTCAAGAATGCTTGATTGTGGAATGCAACACAGAGAGAAGGTGGTAAATGTGAAATGAAATGAGACTTATGTTGCACTCCATGGTCTCTCCTCCATGTCTCTCTTTTTTTTTCTTAAGATTTGTTTATTTTAGAGAAAGCATGTGAGTGGGGGGAGGGGCAGAGGGAGAGAGAGACTCTTAAGCAGATTCACCACCAAGCACAGAGCTGGATGTAGGGCTCGATCTCACAACCCTGAGATGATGACCTGAGCCGAAACCAAGAGTCAGAGGCTTAACCAACTAAGCCACCCAGGCTCCCCCATCCTCCATGTCTTAATAGCATTTTGGAGAAAATAAGACCAAGGAAAATAAAGACAAGGAATTTGTCAGAGAAATAATGGATGAAAATGATGAAAGTCCACACAGTGAAAAGCTTCAACAAATGCCAAACAGCAGATACTTAAAAAAAAAAAAAAAAAATCCACATTGTAGATAAAATTTTAAAAGCTACTTGAACGAAAATATATCACTTATAAAAAGAAAAGAGATCGACATTAGCAACAACAGAAACAAGACACTGGAGTAACAGCATCAAAGAATTCTATACCCAGCTAAATTATAATTCAAGAGTGCAGACAAATAATGCTGTTTTTAGATACAGAGACAATTTATTCTGCAAGAAGCAAACTGAATAAAGGAAGGAATGAAAATATCAGTGAGTAAAAAAAATTATAAAAGCATATTTGAAAATCTAAATACTTTTAAAATTCTTTTGTATAATAAGTGCATATGGTAGAAACTTCAGAAGTTACAGGGTGCATACAGTGGAAAGTAAATCTCCCTTTCTTTTCTAATTCCTAGTTGTTTATTTTTCCAGAGGCAACTATTATTAATATCCATTAAAGATTATTTTATGCATCTAAATAGTTTGATAGTTTTTATAAAATGAGACTACAATATGCTTGAAAGCAAAAAAATTAATAAAAATTAGACAATAAGAAATACAGGAGTGGGGAAGAGTATAGGGAAATTAAAACATTTTAAGTTACTTTTGAGAACTTCAGTTACACATATTAAAAAGTTAAAGGTGACTTCCACTTCTGGCCAAGATGGAGTGAGAGAGACCACATTTGCCCTCCTTCATGAAACAACTGAGGACCTGGACAAAATACATGAAATATTATGGGTCTCATGACATTGGACATGAGGCAGTGAAGGACAGTGATCCATGAGAGATGGGAAACAAATGAAATTAGCCTGTTGACTGCCCCACCTTGCTTCCTGGAGAAAGTTCCCAGGCTGCCACACAAGGAGGGGGAACCAAGCAGAGCCCTGTGCTCTCCCTGAGTTGAGGAAATGGAGCTGGGAGTCCTGGGAAGCCAAGGCATCTGGAATTCACAGAACAGAGACCGGAGGGGATAACTGCACAGAGAAAGAACTGCAGAGGGTCCCCCTTGAGTATTCAGTTGACTGCTGATCAACTTATGCAGGTGAGTAAACTAGCCAAGGCCTGGGAAGGAAGCACCCACAGGATCTAAGGGAATAATACTTGGAGTTCACGTAAAGCCAGACATGTTCCTGTTCCTTTTTTTTTTTTTTTTTTAAAGTTTTATTTATTTATTTGAGAGAGAGAATGAGAGACAGAGAGTACAAGAGGGAAGAGGGTCAGAGGGAGAAGCAGACTCCCTGCTGAGCAGGGAGCCTGACGCGGGACTCGATCCTGGGACTCCAGGATCATGACCTGAGCCGAAGGCAGTCGCTTAACCAACTGAGCCACCCAGGCGCCCCATGTTCCTGTTCCTAATAGCAGGAGTTTGCATGCTAAGAAAGGTTTTGCCTCATTAACAAGGAAATCTATCCCTGGACTAATTGCTGCTCTGTTCCCACGTAACAAACCTTAAAAGCAAGAACTCAGATCATACTGTTTCCAGGTAACCTAACCACATCTCAGAGCAAAATTCCGGAATGTTTATAGAAGTCAAAACTATCTGGCACCCAATAAGACAAAATTCTCAATGTCTGGCATCCAAGAAAATATACTAGGCAGACAAACAAGCAGAAAAATACAACATATGGAGGAGAAAAATTAATAAATACTCAGAAATGACACAGGTGATAGAATTAGTACATGGATATTAAAAGTTATTAGTCCCCCCCCCCAAAAAAAAAGGTTACTAGTCCAGATCAGTCATGATGTTAAATACAATATGTTCCAGTTAAAGAGAGAAAGACTGGATTTTAAAGGAAGAAAAATAATCTGTATGCTATTTAAAAGAAACAACTATAACATAAAGATGAAGAAAGGTTGAAAGCAGAAGGATGGAAGCAAATATACCTTGCACTGTTCAAACTACAGTGTTTAGTAGTGCACAGTAAGAGATACAACTAATAGGAAGCTAATGATAAATTTTAGGGTAGGGGCACCTGGCTGGTTCAGTCAGTAGAGCATGTGACCCTTAATCTTGGAGTTGAGTTCCAGACCTGCATTGAGTGTAGAGATTACTTGCAAATAAAATCTTAAAAAAAGAAAGTGTAAGCAGATTAAAGACCTAAATAGGAGGAAAATGAGAATTAAAACTTTCAGGAGAGGGGCGCCTGGGTGGCTCAGTTGGTTAAGTGTCTGTGTTTGGCTCAGGTCATGATCTCAGGGTCCTGGAATTGAGTCCCACATCAGGCTCCCTGCCTGCTTCACCCTCTCCCTCTCCCTCTGCTGCTCCCCCTGCTTGTGCTCTCTCTCTGTCAAATAAATAAATAAAATCTTAAAAAAAAAACTTGAAGGAGAAAATAAAATACTTCTGTGACCTTACATTACAGAATTACAGAATTTTTTTTTTTAAGATTTTATTTATTTATTTGACAGAGATAGCGAGAGCAGGAACACAAGCAGGGGGAGTGGGAGAGGGAGAAGCAGGCTTCCCGCTGAGCAGGGAGCCTGATGCGGGGCTCGATCCCAGGACCCTGGGATCATGACCTGAGCTGAAGGCAGACACTTAACGACTGACTGAGCCACCCAGGCGCCCAGAATTAATTCTTAAGACACAAAAATGGAAACCATAGGGCAGTGTGGCCAGGCAGCCCAGCTTCTCAAAGGCTCTTGTTGCACTGTGGCCTGCCACCAGGATGCTCAAGAGGGAGGTCAACTCCGTGGTCGGGTGTGGGGAGGCAATGAAGGAGGAGAAACCTGCTCCTGCAAAAGTAGAAGTGAAGCCAAAAAAGGCAGCAGAAAAGGATAAATCTTCAGACAAAAAAAGTGCAAACAAAGGGGGAAAGAGGGAACAAAGGGAAAACAGGCTAAAGTGGCTAACCAGGAAAGACGTACTTGCAGAAAACAGAAACTGGGGCACTTGGGTGGCTCAGTTGGCTAAGCATCTGCCTTTGGCTCGAGTTGTGATCCCAGTGTTCTGGGATCGAGCCCCATGTTGGGCTCCCTGCTCAGTGGGGATCCTCCTTCGCCCTCTCCCTCTGCAGCTCCCCCTGCTTGGGCTCTCTTTCTCTGTCAAATAAATAAAAGCTTTTAAAAAAAGAAAGAAAATGGAGAAGCTAAAAATGAGGAGAGTCCAGCCTCAGATGAAGCAGGAGAGAAAGAAGCCACATCTGAGTAATATCATAAACCATGTCTTATCTGTGGTCCCTGTCTCCCTTCTTGTATAATCTGGAAGAATATTTTTATCAACTATTTTATAAATGCAAGTTTTTTAGTAGCTCTAGAAACATTTTTTTTAAAGATTTTATTTATTCATTTGAGAAAGTGAGAATGAGAGAGAGAGCACATGAGAGGGGGGAGGGTCAAAGGGAGAAGCAGACTCTCCGCTGAGCAGGGAGTCCGATGCAGGACTCGATCCTGGGACTCCAGGATCATGACCTGAGCCGAAGGCAGTCACTTAACCAACTGAGCCACCCAGGCGCCCCTAGAAACATTTTTAAGGAGGGAATCCCACCTCATCCCATTTTTTTAAGTGTAAATTTTTTTTTTAAGAGGTTAAATTATTTGCTGATTGTTTCTTGGTACAAGCAGAAAGTAGTAGGATATCGAATATGGGAGGCTTTGATTGTCTTGGGTGTCAGCTTAACATTCCATAGATGGGGTAGTTTTTCTAACCTATAATACCAAGCATACTAAATGGCAGTTTGGAGTCAATCATTCATTTAATAGGTCATGAACATTTTAAATTACTTCTTTCCCCATGTTGTTTTTGGTAGAATTGTTTCATAAAGAAAACCACTCCTTGATCAGAATTTTGTACACTCTGTAACATCTTGGCAGTCCAGTTTTCCTAGTAACTTTGATAATGTGCTGTGCAAGATTGAAAATTTGAGTATGTAGTGTATATGATACTTTGAATTAATGGGACTTAACAGTGTAACAGCATATCAACATTTGAAGATAATTGGTACTTGATAAGAAAAATTATCATCAGTTATCATAAATTGGTACTTAAGGAAAATTTGCCTTCAAATTTTAAGCTGGAAGGTCACTGGAAGACGTTTTATTTTTTTTAAAGATTTTATTTATTTGACAGACACAGAGAGGGAACACAAGCAGGGGGCGTGGGAGAGGGAGAAGCAGGCCTCCCGCAGAGCAGGGAGCCCAACGTGGGGCTCAATCTCAGAACCCTGGGATGATGACCCGAGCCACCCATGTGCCCCGCTGGAAGACGTTTTAGAAAAGAATTAAAACTGCATGATTTTTTAGATTTTTGGCACATACACTAATGTGTGCAAATTGAAATATCTACTCATCCTCAGAACAACCAATAAAAACTGAATTGTGAAAGAAAAAAATTAAAACCATAAAAGGTTGATAAAGACTATGTAAAAATTTAAAACTTAGAACATATACAGGGCTACTGAGTGGCTTAGTCGATTAAGCGTCTGCCTTTGGCTCAGGTCATGATCCTGGGGTCCTGGGATCAAGCCCCGTGTTGGGCTCCCTGCTCAGCAAGGGAGCCTGCTTCTCCCTCTCCCTCTGCCTCCCACTCCCCCCACTTGTGCTCTCTCTCTTTCTCTCTGTCAAATAAATAAATAAAATTTTTAAATCAAAAAAAAAACTTAGAACATATAATAGACAAAGGATTAGAACATGAAATATAGGAAAAACTGCAAATCATTAAGAACCCAGTATAAAACCAAGGGTACACAAAAGCAGTTCAGAGAAGAGCAATTGTAAAAATATGTTCAACTTCAGTAGTAATCAGGAAGATGCAAAATAGAACAACAGTGAGATCAGTTTCCCTCAACGTAATGGAGACCATGTGAAGAAATGGAAATTCACTGTTAGTGGAAATAGAAATTGGTACATCCTTTTTGAAAAATCACAAGGTCTCAGAAAATTAAAAATTAAAAATGCTTATTCCTAACATTTTCACTTCTAAGCATATAAACTAAAGGAAGTTCTCCTGGAGATTATGTAAAAGAATATTTGTTGTGTCATTATTTGTAATAGTGGAAAAAGTTAACTGCCTAAATGTTAACTGATGTATCATATCCATTAAGTGAATAAAAGTAAATAGCAAAGTAAAACTATTATTATAGTTTTTCTCGAGTCATTAGTAATTATAGGTTAAGTAGGTATAGTACCACATGCCTCTTCAGCTGTCTGTTGACAGACTTGCTAATTTACCCTTGGGGAATTTTTCCCCAGGTGATCGTTATTATTGATATTTCCTCAAGTTTAGGATTTTTTTTTTTTCAGACATTGACTTCTCTGAATCTGCTAGGGGAAAAAATAGCATGCAAAATTGTTTTGCTTATGCACTATCTATTCTTTTTTATAGGACCAATGTTTCAAGCCAAACTCCCTCTGCCAAAAGAAGTTTGGGATTTCTTCCTCAACCAGCTCCTCTTTCTGTTAAAAAACTGAGGTGTAACCAGGATTACACTGGCTGGAACAAACCAAGAGTGCCCCTTTCCTCTCACCAACAGCAGCAACTTCAGGGGTAGGTAAATTCTTTATAGTTTACTTTCTTTTTATAAAGTCATTGACTGAAGCATATTTTGCTTGATGTCAAAAAAATGATGAAAAGGGTCATATTAATTATAGTTCTCAAATATGTACTCACTTATTAAAGATTTGTCACATCCATAAATAATGGTAACTCCATTATCTAGTCTCCAGTTTTTGAACTTTGAAAAAAATACGTGTATATAACATAATCGTAAAGTAGAAAATACATATTCTCCAATCACATATACTTCATCATTACTCCTGAGATACTTTAACATTATTTTATGTATATCCTCCCCATCCCCTTCATGCTTATATTTTTATTAAACACATAAAAAGATCATAGTATAATAACAAATAATAATAGTAGCAATCTTACCTGAAGTGTTTGTTACATGCCAAATACTGTGTGCTGCGTGCTTAAATAGATTTTTTTCTTTAAATCCTCACAGCCCTTCTGTGAGCTAGATGCCTCAAAAATCCGCATTTACAAATGAAGTAACGAAGGCTTAAAGAAGTTAATTAACTTTCTCAAGGTGATATAGTCAGTGGTACAGCAGTAGTAAATCTAGTCAGTTGGACTTCACGTGCATTCTTTTTTTTTTTTTTTTTTTTTTTGAAGATTTTATTTTTAAAGAGAGAGGGAGAGTGGGCATGCATGAGCAGGGAGAGGAGCAGAGGGAAAGGGAGAGAAGGGGAGAGAGGGAATCTCAAACTGATTCCACGCTGAGCACAGAGCCTGATGCAGGGCTCGATCTCATGACCCTGAGATCATGACCTGAGCCAAAATCAAGACCCGAATGCTCAACCGACTGAGCCACCCAGGCTCCCCTCCACTTGCATTCTTAACCACTGTGCTCTATTCTCTGTTCCCTGATGTTTTCACTCCATATTGATCATGGGCTTCCTCATGTGTTAATATATAACCTTCAACCATGTTAGTATGCATTTAGATTTCCCTTTTTTCCCATTACAATCCAGGCTAGGATGAACATTCTCATATACATATCTTTTTAAAATTTATTGGAAGTTTTCTATAGGATAAATTATTGGAAGTGTATTTTCATTAAGATTAAAGGAAGGCACTTTGAAATGTTTTATTACTATTACCAAATTGCTCTCCTCAAACTGCCAGCTTGTTTTCAGTGTCAGATTACTGTTTTTGTACCAGCTTAAGGTTATCTTTTTACTTCAATGAGTGGCATCTCCCAATTTGGCTTATCCATTGTAATATATATGTTTCATGTCTTAGCAGATAATAACATAAAATATGCAGTGAAGGTATTTCACTTTTTCTGTTTACCTGTTCCTTTTCACTGAGCTTTTTTTTTTCTTTTTTAAGAGAGAGTAAGTGTGTGCACGTGCAAGCAGTGGGGAGAGGTAGAGAATCATAAGCAGGCTCCATGCCCAGCATGAAGCCTGATACAAAGCTCAATCTCACGACCCTGAGATCTCCACCTGAGCAGAAATCAAGAGTCAAATGCTTAACATGCTGAGCCATCCAGGCGCCCCAATAGACAAAATGTTTAAACTGCAGGGAGAAAAAGAGTTGTAAAATAATAGCTGAAGATCATCAGTACTCCACTTTCAATAATGGATAGAATATATAGACAGAAAAATCAGTAAGAAAATATAGGATTTGACCAACACTATAAACTGCCTAAATCTTACGGATGTATATAGAACACTCCACCCAGCAACAACATAATATACATTCTTCTCAAATGCACATGAAACATTCTCCGGGAGAGACCATATGTTAGGCCACAAAGTAAGTCTTAATTTTAAAGGTTTGAAATCATCTAAAGTATCTTTTTTTTTTTAAAGATTTTATTTGAGAGAGCGAGAAAGAGAGAGAGAGAGCACACGAGAGGGGGGAGGGTCAGAGGGAGAAGCAGACTCCCCGCCTAGCAGGGAGCCCGATGTGGGACTCGATCCCAGGACTCCAGGATCATGACCTGAGCTGAAGGCAGTCACTTAACCAACTGAGCCACACAGGCGCCCTAAAGTATCTTCTTGAAACACAATAAAATGAAGCTGGAAATCAGTTATAGATGGAAAAATGGAAATATGTAAAAATTAAATAACACACTCTTAACCAGTAATGTCAAAGAAGAAATCACAAGAGAAATTTAAAAATACTTAAAGATGAATGAAAGCTTTAGCAGCCTACCAGAATTGAGGGATGCAGCAAAAGCAGTGCTCAGAGGGAAATCTATAGCAGTAAACGTCTACATTAAAAAAGAAATGTTGGTAAGGCTGTGAAGAAGTTGGAACCCTTGGACTTTGCTGGTGGGAATGTAAAATGGTGCAGCTGCTATGGAAAATAGTATAGCAGTTCCTCAAAGAATTAAAAGTAGAATTACCATAAGATCCAGCAAGTCTGTTTCTGGGTATATATCCAAAAGAATTGAGAGCAGTGACTTGAACAGATGTTTATACACCCATGTTTCACCTAAAAGTGCAAGCAGCCCATGTGTCCAATGGTAGATAAACCAAATGTGTTTTAGACATATAATGGAATACTGTTTAACTTTAAATAGGAAAGAAATTCTGACACATACTACAATGTGGATGAACCTTGAAGACATGCTAAGTGAAATAAGCTGGTCACCAAAGGACAAACACTGTATGATTTCACTTATATGAATTACCTAGAATAGTCAGATTCATAGAGTCAGAAAGTAGAATGGTGATTGCCAAGGAGAGGGCAGTAGGGAATTATTGTTAAATGGGTACAGAGTTTCAGTTCCAGAAAATGAAAAAATTCTGGAGGTTGATAGTGGTGTTAGTTGTACAACATTGTGAATGTACTTAATGCGTCTGAAACTGTGCACCTTAAAATGGTTAAATAGTGGAGCTCCTGGCTGGCTGATTTGGTAGGGCATGCATGTGACTCGTGATTTCTGGGTTGTGAGTTTGAACCCTGCATTCGGCATAGAGTTTGCTTAAAAAAATCTTTATAAAAATGGTTAAATGGTAAACTTTATGTGTATTTTATCATGATTTAAAAAAAAAAATGACCTCAAATCAATACCTGACTATACCTTAAGGAAGTAGAACAAGAAGAGCAAACTAAACCCAAAAGCTAGCAGAAGGAAGATTAGAGATAAATAAAATAGAGACTAGAAATACAAGAGAAATACAAAATCAACAAAATCAACAAACCTATTATCTAAACTGATAAAAAGAGAAGACTCACATAACTAAAATCAGAAGCACAAGTGAGTGTATTACTGCCAACCTTACCAAAATAAAAAAGATTTTAAGACAATACTGTGATTTTACCACCAAAATTAGATAACTAGATGAAATGGGCAGATTTCTAGAAACAAGGAAGAATTGTGCAGCTCTGAAAAAGAAAGTGTAAAAAGTTGAAGAAGCAGTATGTGAACTCAAAGCCAAAATGAGATACCATTTTTTTACACCCACTAAGGTGGCTATAATTTTAAAAAAGAAACCTGAAAATAACAGAGTGTGTGTTAATTTAAAAAAAACAAGTCACTAAAGAGTATACACTGTATAGCATTCCATCTTTTGTTTTTTATGAAAAAGAAATAAAATACACGTTTGATTATATGTATACATAAACTTTCAAATATATAAAATGGGATATGTAAAATGTTTTTAATATTTTATGTTTTAAATTAGAGTATACACAATATTTAAATCTAAAATTTTATGTATTACATAAAATATATAGATACTTCACTTTTTATATTTTAAGTTGCTGTGTCTTCAAGTTCACTGGTATTTTCTTCAGTGTCTAATCTGGTAATCTCTAATATTTTCATCTATTGTGTTTTCCATCTCAAATTAATTTGGGGGTCTTTTATATCTTCTGTTTCTTTCCTCTTAGGTTTATGGTTTTCTTTGCACCTGTGATCACATGAGGCATATTTATAATAGCTGTTTTAATATCTGCAGTTGGGTTTGATTATTCTGAGACTTGTGTTTATTAAACTCTTTGGTGTCAAATCTAGAGTGGACTTTATTCTAAGACTAACTTAATTCCTTTTTTAAAGCACAGCTCCTCTGGGATTTCTAGTAATATCCTATGAGTTCACCTAGGTCTCTCCACTATGGTGGGAACTCAATCAATTTTGGGTCCTGCATGAGCTCTGGGAATTATTCTGTTAATAGCTCCCCACTAATCATTCTTTTCCTTGAAGTTCTTGCCTGGTGTCTTGAGGTTTTACCCTAAGCATGCACAGGTTGGTATTCAGCCAAATACCGAACAGACTGTGCATATAATGGTAAAGCATATAGTACAAAAGATTAACAGTTGGTAAATATGGATAAAGAATATTCTTGTGCAGCTTTTTTGAGAGTTTGGGAATATTTTCAAATACAAGTGTTTTAAAAATATGTGCTTTAGAAAAACGTTTAGCAGTACCCACTAAACCTAAACACATATATCCTATGACCCAGCAGTTCTGCTTCTGGGCATATACTTAAAAGAAGTGAGTTAAGTTATATCTCAATGAAAAAATTAAAATTATAAATAAGAACAAATAGCTCTTTGGATAAGTCTCCAGTTATTTTTAGCATTCATTTGAAAATGTATAATTTTCCTTGTTACAATCTTAAAATGCAGTGGTTCTCAAAGTATGGTCCCCAGACCAACAGCATCAGCATGAACTGGAATCTTGTTAGAAATGCACAGTTTTGCCCCCCCTCTGTCTAGATCTACAGTTTCTAGTTGCGGCCCAGCAATATGTATTTGAACAAGCCCTCCATGTGATTGTGATTGTGATGCGTGCTATACTGGAGAACTCCCTACTTAAATGAACATATGTCAGGAACTACTGTTGTCTTCAAAAGTACTATTTTTTTCATTTTCAGCTTCTCCAATTTGGGAAATACCTGCTATATGAATGCTATTTTACAGTCTCTGTTTTCACTTCAATCATTTGCAAATGACTTGCTTAAGCAAGGTATCCCATGGAAGAAAATTCCACTCAATGCACTTATCAGGTAATTGTTAGATACTAAGTAACCTTTTACCCTGTTGATTATAGAATAGAGTTTTAGGCACTTAAACTTTTATGTGTCATTGTTAACAGTCTTTAAAATATCATGCTAACCAGACTTTTGTAAAATGTCACTAAACTTCTCTTGTTTTAACAGACGCTTTGCACACTTGCTTGTTAAAAAAGATATCTGTAATTCAGAGACCAAAAAAGATTTACTCAAGAAGGTTAAAAATGCCATTTCAGCTACGGCAGAGAGATTCTCTGGTTATATGCAGAATGTGAGTACTAATTGTTTTTAAACATTTTAGAGATGAGGGAAGTTGAAATGATTTCCGTGTATTATCTAATTTCTCTTTTAAAATGAGATGTGTGTACATATGTTCATCACAAGCTGAAAAACCTGAGGACTTATGGTAAGCTTAGTTTAATATGACTCTTCTGTGTATTTTATCATATTTGAAAAATACAGATATCATTTGCCATTGTAGGAACTTGGGCTATTTTAGCTACAAAGCCTATCTTAGAAAAAATACTTTATCTTAAAGGAGTGGTTCATTCATTCATGCTAATCCAACTGGTAGTTAAAAATATAAAATCTGTCGTTCTTTTTTAAAGAATTTTCTTTAAATTCAATTTAGTTAACATAGTGTGTACATAATAACACACTGTATATTACATGTGTAATACAACATACAACACTATACAATAATACAGTGCATTATTAGTTTCAGAGGTAGAATTTAGCGATTCATCAGTTGCAGTGTCATTTGTTCTTATTCACAAAATATGTACCGCCAAATTGTTAGAGTAAATCTGACCTTTTTCACTTATGGTACTGACCTCTGAGTGCTTTAGTTGTATAAATCACAGTGTTAGCAAGCTATCATTGTGGTAGGAAAGGTTTTGATCTTATGATTAAAGATATTGTGCCTTCTTAGGATGCTCATGAATTTTTAAGTCAATGCTTAGACCAGCTGAAAGAGGACATGGAAAAGTTAAATAAAACTTGGAAGACCGAACCTGTTCCTGGAGAAGAAAATTCATCAGATATTTCAGCCACAAGGGTGTACACTTGCCCTGTTATTACTAACTTGGAGTTTGAAGTTCAGCACTCCATCATCTGTAAAGCGTAAGTAGCCTCTAAGAAAACTCTTTGCCCTTTTAATTCTTTATGGGAGGTGATTAAAATTCTTCTAGAAGGTTTTAATTCTTATTTTCCTTTCTATGTCCTAAGGACACAGAAATGCGTAGATTCTACCAAACATCTCTTTTCAAAGTATCTTTATCTTCAATGAATATGCTTTGTAGGGTGAGAACTAAGAACTCGACTATTTTGTCATGTGCTGTAGTGCTGACTAAACACTTAATTTCGCTCTACAAGTTTGTTTTTGTGGGGTTTTCTTTTATTCTCTGTGTGGAATATTGAGTACTTTCGGAATGCTTTTTCTTCTCTTTTTCCCTGAAAAGACTCCCTCCTATTGCTTATTTTATTAAACCAAATTGTTTTTATTAAAAATGGGTTTTTTTTACGGGATCAAAATTTGAATTATTTTTAACTTTTGCAGTGCTTTTTAACCATGTTTATATTGATTATTCAGGCTTACTTTCTACATTTAGGTAATTTCCATGCTCATTACCAAGACTTCTTTCTGTACCATGCATTTCACATCAAAAGGTTCTATTTTGAGGGGCGCCTGGGTGGCTCAATCGTTAAGCATCTGCCTTTGGCTCAGGTCATAATCCCAGGGTCCTGGGATCGAGCCCCGCATCGGGCTCCCTGCTTGGCGGGAAGCCTGCTTCTCCCTCTCCCACTCCCCCTGCTTGTGTTCCCTCTCTCACTGTCTCCATCAGATAAATAAAATCTTAAAAAAAAAAAGTTTCTATTTTGATTACTTTTTCAGTTATCGATAGTACATCTCTGCATATGTTTTTTCAGAGAGAGTAGAATTTTTCTGTATAAGAAAGAATTGTGTTGCTTTCACACAGGAGTTAATACAGAATTATTGAATCACACATTGCCTTTCCCCCTTAGTATCTTACATATACTGTCCCATCATGTCTTCTTTGTGCCATTTGAGAGAAACCTGACTTTGTGGGTAATCTTTTTCTTCCTGAAAATCTGTGGTATTCTTTATTTTTGAAATTCACATTTTCACAAGTTTGCATCTAAGTATTTTGTTTAATTTTGCCTTTAACATGATGGAGCTTTCTCATCTGAAAGATTTGGGATTTTCTTCCACTCAAAACTATTCTGTAAATGTTACAGAATAGTTTGAAATTTTCTTTAGAAATACTCAAAACCCATATATTGGCTATCCATTTTGTCTTCCATATTTCTGTTTTTCTTAGACTGTTCATGAGGTCTCTCCCAGCTGTAACATTCCAATAATTGTGACTACAATTTTGAACATTCAAATGGACACTAGAAAGATAGTTTTGTGTCACTAGTGTGTGTGACATTTCTTGTCTTCATCATTTCTTCAGTCTTTTGTTTCCCCAGTAGATAAATTATTTTTACAAGAAAAAGTCCAGGTCTTATAAATACAGTCCATGTCCTTGTAAAAGCTGGAGAGCCCACCAGCCGTTAGTAATACGGTAGCCAGTTATCCTTTCCTTTCCTTCTAATGTACTTTCCCAACAGATTTGTTCAAGTTAGAGAAGCAAAGTTTTAATTGTTGTTATTTAATTGTGGGGGTGCCAACCAAATTTATCTTGATAGGAGAATTTCAATGGCCCCTGATAGAAATGGCTACAGGCAGCACAAGAAGCAAGAAGGCTGAGTCAAAGTAGTGGTTGGTACCCCACTTGCACAGCACCCAGATGTTGGGTGGACGTTGACGTGTGTGCACCATGCCTGAGGTGACATGTCTCCTGGGTGGTAGATACACCGGGGCGGGGGGGCAGGCTGAGAGCGGCCCGACAGTGTGGCAAGTCTGGGAGGCAGCACGGCTCTGTGAGGCCATGGCAGCAGTGGCGCAACTACCTCCTTAAAGGCCTTGCTTTAGTTGCTTTATTAGCAATTTCTTTAAGACAATTCCTTAAACGCAAAGTAGTTTTTGGCTCAAGGAAGATACACCTCAAATCGTAATTTTCATTGTTTAGATTCTGTCTCATCTCACTGTAGGTTAGTTTGGCCAATTTGCCAAATGTACTTATTTTTGTAAACTGCTGTAGTTTAAATGGACTTGTTTTCAATGACATTATAAGGTATTTCAGTATAGTAATATATTATCGAATATGAAGAATTCTCCAAAGAACTTAAATTGTCTAAAACTAAGTACTTTTCTCCATAAAACCTTCTGCGGTCTTCCCTATCTCAGTAATAACAGTTCCATACTTATATTTATCAGCCCAAAAACATAGTGTATTTCTTAACTCTTCTCTTTATCTTGCATCCCTACATCTCATATGTCAGGAAATCCCTTCAGCTCTTTCTTCAGAGTATAACCAGAATCTGACCACTTGCCGCCATCTCATCAAAGCCACTATCATCTCTTGCCTGGATTGTTGGAATACCTTCTAAACTGGTCTCTGTGTTTATCCTGTCTCTCTCTAGTCTTTTTTAAACACAACCAAAGTGATCCGTCTAAAGTGGAAGTTAGTTCATGTTAGCCCTCTCCCCATAACCTATAAAAGCTGAAGTTCTTACTGTAATATGCAAAATCCCATATGATCTGTTCTTCAGCAGCCCCTCTTCCCCCAATTAACTCTGACTTCACCTCCTACCACTCTTTCCCCTTCCTCATTCTGTTCCTACCAAATTAGCTTCCTTGCTTTATTTATTTATTTTTTTAATGCCAGATTCTGGTACCTAAGGGCCTTTTTCACCTACTGTACCCTTTATCTCAAATTCTCTTTCCCCATAGTCCTCTGCATATCTTTATGTAAAAGCTACTTGCTCAGTAAGGCATTTTCTAGGCATTTACCCTATTTAAATTCCAGCCATCTACTCTGGTCTTTCACTATTTTTTTTTCCATTGGCACTTATCACTGTCACTTTAACATACCATACATATTACTTATGTTTTTTATTATCTTTTTCCTCCAATATAGCTTTGTGCAGGGAAGTATTTTATCTTGGGTTGGTTCATTACTGTAACCCCAGTGCTACTAGAACAGTTTCTGGCATATATCACCAAACAGTGATCCCTAAGAAATTGCCCAAATTTACCAGCTTAAAACAATAGTTATTAATTCAGTTCCATAGGTCAGAAGTCTAGACAGGGTGTGGCCAAGTTCTCTGCTCATGGTATCAGAAGACTGAAATCAACATATTGCTTATTCTCATCTGGATACCCCTCTACACTCATTAAAGTTGTGGGCAGAAATTAGTTCCTTATGATTGTAGTACTGAAGTCCCCCCATTTTCTTGCTGGCTGTTAGCTGCAACTACTCATTTCCTAAGGTCTGCCTGTAGTTTCATGCTATGTGGCTTCCATAGGCAGTTCACAGCAGTGCTATTTGTTTTCTTTCAGGTCAGCAGTACATGTCTGACTTTGAATCCCTGACTTCCTCTGTTTGAGACCTCTAGACTCAGATTTAAAGAGCTCAAGTGATTAAGTCGTGACCCACTCAGATAATCTGCTTTTTTATCAACTCAACATTAAGATTAGTAACATTAAATCGTATCTGCACAATCCCTTTGTCTTGTAAAGTAACATCATCATGGGAGTGAAAGCTCATCATGGTCACAAGTTCTCTTAAAGGGGATGGAATTATACAAAGGGTAAGGGTCATCTTAGAATTCTCCCTATTAGATAGAGGCACTCAAATATTTGTTGAATGAAGAATATATTTTTATGGTCTCCAGTCTTCAACTGTGGCAGTAGAGAACTGGGGCAGGAGATTGAATATTACTAAAAATGCTGCTGTGCAGAGAGAAGGAAAAACATCAACTAAAACTATTTAAAAGAAGTGAATTTGATTCCAGATAAATAATGTTTTGGTCTCTGAGCCCAGTTTTAAAAATTCTGTAGAGGGGCACCTGGGTGGCTCAGTTGTTAAGCGTCTGCCTTCGGTTCAGGTCATGATCCCAGGGTCCTGGGATGGAGCCCCGCATCGGGCTCCCTGCTCCGCGGGAAGCCTGCTTCTTCCTCTCCTACTCCCCCTGCTTGTGCTCTCTCTCTCGCTGTGTCTCTCTCTGTCAAATAAATAAATAAAATCTTTAAAAAAATTTTTTTAAATAAAAATTCTGTAGAAATATATCCAGTGATCAAAACAGTTCTACTAAACACCTAGAATTTTTTTTTTAAGATTTTATTTTAGAGAGAGTGCATGCGTGGGGAGGGGCAGAGGGAGAGGGAGAGAGAGAATCCCAAGCAGACTCTGTGCTGATCGTGGAGCCTGATGTGGGGATCTCACGACCCTGAGATCATGAGCTAAAACCAGGCGTCAGATGCTTAACCAGCTGAGCCACCCAGGCACCCCAAGAACACATAGCATTTTCATTTTATTTTATTTTTGGTGCAAAAAGGTATTTTTATTATTAAAGCACAGGGACAGGACCTGTGGGCAGAAAGAGTTGCTGAACACATAGAATTTTTAAAGCAGCATTGTTTATGTAGTCAAAAACTGGAAATAATTCAAATGCCCATCAGTCATAATATAAATTGTGGCATGCTCAGAACAGGTTAATGTGAGCCAACAGTGAAGATGGACTATAGCCACATGCAGCAAGCATGTTTGAATCTCACAATCATGTTGAACAAAAGAGACTAAAGATATACTGTATGGTTCCATTTATATAAGGCTCAAAAATAAGCAATACTGACCTGTTGTGTTAGAAGTCAGGATAATAGTTACCTTTTGGGAGAAAGGGGTAGTGATTGGAAAGGGGCATGTGAGAGGGCTCCTACGGAGTTTATAATGTTTTATTTCTTGATTTGAGTGGTGTTAACTGATAATTCGTGAAACTGTACAACTTTGGTTCACTTTTCTATGTGTATGTTGTACTTTAGTTTTTAACTTCTGGGGCTTTTTTAAAAAAATAAAATTTAGCATTCTGATAAATACTTAAGTACTTGCAGTTGAGGTTTTACCTGTATTGATTTAAAGAGGGTTAAAATACTCATGAGAAAAGTCTTACATTATCAACTCAGGCTAGTCTTTGTCAGTACCTGCTAAGTTCTGTGCCGGAACAGTGTTTCTGAAGTATATTTGTATTTATTTTATATTGCACAGTTAGACTTCTAAATGCTTCCATTTGTCTTCTTTTATTCTTACAGATGTGGAGAAATTATTCCCAAAAGAGAACAGTTTAATGACCTCTCCATTGACCTTCCTCGAAGGAAAAAGCCACTCCCTCCTCGTTCAATTCAAGATTCTCTTGATCTTTTCTTTAGGGTAAGCAACATTTTTGGTATTTTCACATAATTAAGTTTTATATATCATAGGTAATTATATTCGAAATTGGTTTCTTTAAGGCAGAGTTTCAACAAAATTACATGAGAAAACAAAGATTTATAAATAATGTTTAATTTAAAAGCTTGATAAATCTAATTGTTAACTCAGAAGAAGACTATTCATTGGTTAAGTAGATTATACATTTAATTCAATAGCAGGTGTTTTAGACAACCTTAGAAACAGTTATTTGTGAACAAATATTAACTTGAAGCATGTGCTAAAATTTGGTAGTGTTGGTAAAAATTGGAGATGCTATGTATGAGTTTGTATCTAAGATCTGAGGAATGAAAAAATACTCTGCTTTTCCTTAGGTTGTATGTAACCTGTTAGAAACAAAAGGCAAGAGTCATGTTTATCCAAAGCTTTAGAGAAATATGTTTCTGTGATATACTGTTAAAGATATTCAGCAAGTTTTGGGGGCATAATTGGACCTATTGTGTAGCAGTCCTTATAACTGATGGAAATTTGTCAGGATCACCCTTTGTCTCTTTAACAGTGATTCTTGTTTTGTTGTAGCAAGTGGGCAGGGTTGTCTTCCTAAGGTTAAAAACAAAATTCTGTTCTTTAAATGATGAACATTCAGCTCCACCCAAAGATAAATACTCTGCTTTTCTTTTTATCATTCCTTACTATTCCTGTTATTATCATAGAATTTGAAGCTTTTCCTGTGTATCTTTACCCCCATTTTTTAAGGATTTCTTGTTTCAGTTTTCTCTAGGTAATGATATCCACCCCAAACTTTGGTCCTTTTAGAGCAGTTGTTCTTAGTGGGCTGTCACCAGAAGATTGAGTTCCATTATAAGAAAGGGGTAGAGTTACACCTAACAGACCAGGAACTCCGCCTAACCTGAAGGTGATCTTATCTCTGCTATGGCCAAATGTTAAAATCTGGATATACTCTTGGCAGTGGTTCTTGTGCATCCATGGGGAAGAGGTTGAGAATCTGCTACTGTAGAGTCTAGTTGCTGTCATAAATTGAGATGTTTCCATGGTAAAAAAGGAAATTAGGAATTCTGAAATAGGGCATGATATTATAAGATACCTATTTTGAGGATTAGGTCTTAATTTAGTAAGGCTTGTGACTAGACACAAAATTTAAACTGCTCGGAGTTGTCATTGCACTGAACTAGTGTGACTAGAAAAGAGTATTAGCATTTACTGGGGTAATGCTGATTCAACTTCATGCTTCTTTATTTTTCCCTCTTGTCTTTTTACAGGCAGAAGAACTTGAGTATTCCTGTGAGAAGTGTGGTGGGAAGTGTGCTCTTGTCAGGCACAAATTTAACAGGCTACCCAGGTAAAATGAATTGCTCTTCAGTTTTTCTTCTTTAAAGTACTTAAAGATATTACTGGGTAAGTGAGGCTCACTAGAATGGATTGGTAAAGCAAAGCTGAGAAAGGAGAGAGTAGAGGGTGGGAGGTTAGGATGCTGTTGCATAAGAAAGGAAGAAGATTTGGAAGGCTGAAGAAGGGAAGTCACTTCAGAGTCCCTGGAAGATGGCAACAAGAGGACGTGGCTGGTGAGACTTTGGAACAATGGTAGGGACTAGGTAGGAGAGTTTTAATTTGGTAATGTATGACATTCAGTTATAATTTGCAGTTTGATTATGTGCTAGTCTCCTCTTCTCCCAAACCTTCAGTAAAAATCTGCCACAAACACCTACACGTGTATGCCTGAAAATAAAACGAGTAATTTTCTGCAGGTTTTTTTTGCATTCCTTTATTCAAAGGATCTTGTAAGTTAGTAAGTTTCCTATACTCAAAACAATTCAGAATTAGGAATGAATTTAACTTAATTAGCTCTGTGTAAACATACATAAAACCAAACTAGCTAGACAAAATATGATGTGATTATGGTGCAGCTTTTAGTTCTTCCCAAGAATAGATCTCAACCACAAACAAGGTTGTTATTATTAAGTATTTATGTGGCACTTTGCCTGCAGAGTGCTTTACTTTCTTTTATTAGCTTCACTTTTCTGTAAGTGTAGAGTTTCTGGAACCTAGCCCCTAGAGACTAGTTCTTGTACATTCCATTATCTCCTTTCTAGAAAATGAGTTTCTTTTAAAGAAATGACTTTCTAAATCATAGCAGTATTATTATGTTGACCATTTCTTACTCAAGAGACTTATTCTTTCCTATTGGTGAGTGTTTTGAGGCAGGAGGTAGAGGAGACAAACCTTAGGGCAAAGGATTGATTGTTACCAGCTGTCATTAACTAAGGAGGCATGTATGGTTTGAAATACTTGTTTGACCTGGCAAGCTGAATGTCTGTTAACCCTTTTCCAGTGTCTAGCTATTTGTTCTTTCAGTGGGAAAAAAAAATACTGAGGGGAATTTTTTTCATTGGTTTTCTCTTTTTTTCTGTTAGGTCATTTGTGTTACAGGTTCATTTATTCCAAACTTTAGAAGCCTTTGTATCATAAATCCTGATTATCAGACTTGCTCTGTTTTTGTACATTTCAGTATTAAAGCCCAGTTTACTTTTATTCATGAAGGGCCTGGTATCTTTATCAGATATGTTCAGTTTTAGTCCACCTCATCTTTGTAGATAAGTGATTTAGACTATCATCTGTTTCATATTACCTTTTATTTTGGCAAGATTATTTCGAAATGTAGTCAAAATATTTGACATTAGTTTTAATCTCTTCATACCATTTGGATCCTTGTGTTCTCTCAGGTTTTGAATTTGAAGATTATGAGTTCTAGCATACTTTTTAAAGAAAAATAAAGTCAGTAACTTTAATTTACAATTTTTGTAGTTTGTGGCTTTTGTGATAAAGATATGTATGGTAAGAAAGGAAACAGTTTTCCATAAAGCAGACATTATTTTGCCTAGAATTGAGGTTTATTCCCATAAGAGTTCTGAAATTCAAATTTTAAAGTGTTCTTGTGGGCTGTGAAATATATTTAGTCCATCAGGCAGAGACTATGGTGTGTATCAGAGGTGAAAAGGTTAGCACAATAGTAACTAAAAAGAAGTGTTTCTACAGAGTTAAAAGCCTTTTCAGACCCACAAACCAGATTTGGCATGTAAATTTTGTAGAACTTTTTGTAAGTGGAGAAACTTTCCTATTTCTTTCTTAGCTTTCTCCAGAGAAAGTGCTAACATTGAAGTAAGAGTAGTTCTTGTCAGGGGCATCTGGGTGACTCAGTCAGTTAAGTGTCTGACTCTTGATATGAGCTCAGGTCTTGATTTACAGGGTCATGAGTTCAAGCCCCGTGTTGGGCTCCACATTGGGCATGGAGCCTACTTTAAAAAAAATAGTTCTTGTCAAAAATCGTCTTGAAAAAATTAATGTTCACCATCAAACATAAGGGCTATTTAACACTTTAATTAAATTACCATTAATGGTTATATAATACCTATTTTTTTGTAAACTAGATAACATTGAAGTAAATAATTTAAGGATTTAACCCAATACCAACATTTTATTTTATTTATTTTAAAATTTTTTTAAAGATTTATTTATTTATTTTAGAGAGAAAATGGGGGGGAAGGGGCTCAGAGGGAGAGAGAAACTCTAAGCAGACTCCATGCTGAGTATGGAACCCGACTCAGAGCTCAATCTCATGACTCTGAGGTCACAACCTGAGCCAAAACCAAGAGTTGGACACTCAACCGACTGTGTCACCCAGGCACCCCCCAATACCAACATTTTAAAGTAAAATGTGTTTTATTTGGTGTTTTTTTTTTTTCTGCAAACATAAATATTTTACCCAGACCTCATTTATCCACCCAATGCCCATGTTTTATTTTTATTTATATTCTTAGTACCTAGCACAGTGCCTAGCACGTGGCAGGTATTTGGTAAATGGTCTTTGAAGGATCTTTAGCCAAAAGTATTCTTTAAGTCAAAAGCTGTCTAACATGGTTAGTTACAGTGATCTCTTTTCACCAGTAAGAGAGCTAGCTCTGTTATGTGTGAACTAGTAATGTCATCTCCTGTTTTTCAGGATCCTCATTCTTCATTTAAAACGATATAGCTTCAATGTCACTCTCTCACTTAACAACAAGATTGGGCAGCAAGTCATCATTCCAAGATACCTGACCCTATCTTCTCATTGCACTGAAAATACAAAACCACCCTTCACCCTTGGTTGGAGTGCACATATGGCAATGTAAGTCCTTGAGAGAGAATTTCTTTACCTTCCCTTTTGAAGTAGAAGGGCTTTAGTGTCTGACCAAAACAATGACTGAACTAGATAACATGACTCTCAGGTAAAATCAGACCAAGAAGATTTTAATTTTGCTTTATTTTATTTTGAGATTTTGTGTCAAATTACTACCTGATGGAAATAATTAAATAAAATGCTTAAAATTTTTCTGAGTGCATTAATTGCCTTTCATAATAAGTTACCTTTTTAGAGAGTGCGCTTACTATTTTACATCACTAGAAGACAAGTTTGATACATTTTGGGAATATAAATCAAATTTGCTTATTCATAAGAGTCACTTGAACGCTAAAAAATACCAATTCCTGTGTTCTTTCCCTAGCCAGTTCTGTTTTAGTAGATCTGAGATAGGGCTTAAGAATAAGTATTTTTTTAAATGCCTTTGCTGACTCTTTGGCATATGCAAGTTTGAGAAACAGCATACTAAATTTTATCTAGTGCCCCCAAAATTGATTGTCTTCATAAATGTATCATCACCAATGTGAGTGAAGAACTTCTGTGGCTCCTAGAAATTTTTCCATGATAAAAGAAGTAACCTTTACTTTTGATTTTGCTTCATCATGTATGCTGAGAAAACCTTAGGACTTCTCTGAATGTTGCTCTTTCTTGCATGACTCTTGTTACATTACTTTGGAGCCATGTACTGTAGTTCTTTTTTATACTTGAACTCTAATTTGGTAGAATCATAAAGTTCTCCAACTTTAGAAGTAAAAAGGATCTTAGAGATTTTGTCTAAATTTTTAGTTTTGCAGAGATTCAAGGAGAGTAAGTGATTTTCTTAAGGTCATGCAGTTAGTAACTGGAAGAGCCAGGTGTCTTGGCTAAAATAGAATAAATAGACCTTTCAGAAAGTGAATGAACATTTGCTAACAATAATTGATGCAGTTTTAGAAAATGTATTTCCCTTGGATTAATAATTGAAATATATACTACATCGTGTAAGTTTACACTAAAGGACTCAGTGGGCCTACTTATTAATAAAGATAATTTCCCAGAGTCTTTTAAGTGTTTCTGGGTTTTCTCCTACAGGCTTTCGTTAGAATAGATGTTTTTGCTTAATGCAAACTGCCCTCTGCTGGTAGACCTGTTACTCTTTGTGGCCATTAGTGTAGGTGATTTATGATCACAGGCCTGAAACCAGGCTATATGATTCCAGAATGGAATGGCTTGAAGACTTTGGACAAGTTCTTTGACCTGTGTATAGGGGAAATAATAGGATGGTGTGAACATTAAATGAGGTAATAAACTATGAGCTCTTAACTCCAGTGTCTGGTAGCCAGTAAGTCCTCAATAAATGAGAGCTATTACTATTTTATTGCTTAAAAGTAAAGAACTGAGGCAAGATAATTTTCCCAAGTTGTTCTTTTCATATGCATTACCTTTGACTTCACTTCCAATGCTGTTTATTTAGATCATTAGATCAGGAAGAGCCTACAGATGGTACCTTGTTTTCTCTTTTGGCCTCTATTGCTAGTAGAAGTATTGTAATTATTTGCAAAAAGATATATAAGGAGCTGTAGTATAGAATAATTCATTTTATAAGTTAAATATATATTTTTAATAATGTAATTATATACATTATATATTTTCTAATTTTCTGATAGTTCTAGACCATTGAAAGCCTCTCAAATGGTGAATTCCTGCATCACCAGCCCTTCTACACCTTCAAAGTGAGTTATATTTCTTGTGTACCCAAAATTTGTATTTTTAAAGATTTGGCTTACCCTGATTTCCAAGATTATCCCCTCCCCTTTTCTTTGTTTTTCTTTGCATGATAACTGCTCTGTATTAGTATACTTTGTAATTTTCCTGAATCTGCTTTGAGGTATAACCTAGGGTATAACAAATCTTTAACAGTGAAGCACGTTCAGATGATCTTCTCAAAATTTTGTTTTTAAACTTCTTAAATCAACTGTTAATACATAATATTTTCATCCTACAACTATAGAAATTGACTGATGACAAGGGATTTTAAGGCTTGAAGGGATAAAATAACCACTGTTGGTATAAAGCACTGTTCCTCAAAGATACACATGGGGATCTCAAAATATCATTTCACCTGTTGCTAGCCAGTCTGGGACTTCCTGTCTTGGACACTGACCTGAAGCAATTCTGAAAGGGAACAAGAAAACAAACACACAATGAAATGTAGCTATTCTACAAATGTTTTATATTTTTTACTTAAGATGGAAAAGTTTGTCCATAAAGGGAAGCAAATACTTTTTTTTAATATATCTCCTCTATAATTTAACTAGAACCACAGTTCCTGATTAAACAATTCTAAATGACTTGGTTGTCATTTATCTTTAAAACTAGTTTTTCTGAAAATTTGATGTCCCAAAGTACTTTTAGAAAAGAGACACTTCTGTTGTTTAAGGGCTTTGGGGGGCTTATATAACCATAAAATGACATTTGGGAACTGCTATTTTCTTTTCCTCCTGTTAATTATTTTTCAGTGCAATTAAAACCAGATGACTAACATGACTAGAAATCTGAAATGGTACCGATATGAATACTCTTGCCCGTTCTCAAGATACAAATGAGCAATACCACTTGGCTGCTTAGAAAGTGAGCAAGTGATGCATTTACAGGATGAATATTTTTCCTTACTACAGGCAAGCTGCCTTCTGTGAATATAGTAATTATTAATGGAATGCACTCTTTATGTACCAAATCACTATAGTTTCAAGAAGGAGATGGTTTCATTGGGCATCATTATATTTGGCATGGTCATCTGTTCTCCAGGGTCTACTGGTATGAGAATTTGAGAGTTGGTCAATAAAGGATAATTAGGCCCTAGAAGACCTGTCATGCCGATCAAACTTAAAAGAGGCTGAGTTTTGAACAAGAATACCATTGGTTCTTCTACAATGTCCTTTGTCTCATTTGACCCTGGTCCATTAGTAGCCAGGTGTCACCCTCCTTCAGCAAAGTATTTACATGGATAAACAAATTAATACATTCAGTTTTGCTTGGTGTGCATGAAATCAGAAATGAGGAATTAAGATGGCTAATTGGCTATTTCTAAGTTATACTAAAAACCCTTTTGAACACATAATGGGAGGCTATTCAAGTGTATAGGCTGGAGTGCAGTGATATCCTGGGAGCTCTCAGCCACAGACTATGTTTGGGCTTATCACTGACCACTTGCCTCTTTTCTTTGATCTACATTGCTATGCAATCCTCCTGGTTTCCATTGTGGCCTCTTATTTCTTGGTGCCATCATTCTGTATGTTTATTTACAGTTTTTACATTTAGATTAATTGCATTTTTCCAATTTCCATTTTACTTTTTTTTTAGTATACTATATGAATTTATGTTAATCTCCATCAAAGAAAGTTCGTGCTCTTTGACCTTTACCACTTTTTCTTTTAGTTTATTTTCAGCTCACTTAGAAGGCAATGCAGTAACACCTTACTTATCTGGTATTGAAGAATGATATTTGATATTTCATATATAAATTTTTACATAGCTGAAGATTGCTTTTTTAAGCATTAAGCTTTAAAATGCTTTACCATTTTAGATGGTTTTATACTCTATAACCTTACAGAATTCCCTATATTCATAAATAAAATACACTGAAGATAATTTAAATGTTTTAATGACTCAGAATCAGCATTATGAGTATCACTTATTGCACTGTGTTTTAATATAATGCCCTCAGAGGCTTTAAGTCTTACAAAACAGTTTATATTAAATGACTTTACAGTTTTTTATTGCCCTTTTTGTGGTTATTCTCTCTCATTTCCTAGCTCTCATTTCTTGATGAACTTGCTACATTATTTTATACACCATTTCCTGGGAAAGAAAGGGTCCCTGTCTAAAGAGTAAAGTGCATTGGCTTTGAAACTACTGCTTTCCTCAGAAGCCTTTTTTCTTACTTTTGAATCCCTGTGTTGTGGAAAATAGAGGTTGCCAGAAGTCTGACGTACATATAATTGGATAAGTGGAATGTTACTGTTAATTTTAAAATAACATGGATCATAATTTAAAAGACCAAAAATTAGCCCTCATGCACAATTTTGTCAAAAACATTTATTCATTGCTATGTCTGCATGCATTCAGTAGAGTACTTGCTTTATAAAAACAAACTTCTTTGGGGTTGATCATTAAAAGAAAAAAGGCACAAAGTGATTGGTTTACGGATGGATTTTATTATAGCATAAGAATTGTCTGATTTTCAAAGCATGGCTGTTTTGGAGTGGGGCAAAGGTAATGCTTAAATACACTTCTTTTGCTGTATCTTTTTTTCTCTGTAAATCATTTTCCGTAATGGAAAAGTTTTTTATTTTGGTATTTACACATCAAGGGAATAACAAGGACAAAAGTGTATTTATCAGACTCATATAGGTTTTTTTCTTAAATTACAGGAATTTCACCTTCAAATCCAAGAGCTTGGCTTTATGCCTTGATTCAGACAGTGAGGATGAGCTAAAACGCTCTGTGGCCCTTAGCCAGAGACTTTGTGAAATGTCAGGCTGCGAACAGCAGCAGGAAGACCTGGAAAAAGTAAGTAATTTCTCATCAAAATACTTGACAAATATTTATATAGCTCTTACTGTCCAAACAAATGCCTTTACAACTAGCATCAGCAACCTTTTTTCTTTTCTTGGTAAACTTAATAAAATACACAGGGTAGATCATAAATTCATAAACTTAATGGATCTGTTGAAACACTAGTTTTAAAGAGTATACTTTGTGTAACTACAAAACCAGTCTGTTTAAAAATGGATTGGGACTTTTTTTTTATTGAGGTATAATTGACATATTAGTTTCAGGTGTACAGCATATTGATTCAGTATTTGTATGTTTTGCAATAAGATTACCACAGTAAGTCTAGTTAACATCCATTACCATACATATTTAGCAAAAAAATTTTTTTTCTTGTGGTAAGGACTTCTAAGATCTATTCTCTTAAGCAACTTCCAAATCTGCAATAAAATATTAACAGTAGTCTAATTCTGTACATTACATCCTCATGACTAAGTTATTTTATAACGGGAAGTTGGCCTGCTGTGTCCATTTCTCTCTCTCACACTCACACACACAGGCTTCCACCCCTAGCTACCAGTAGTCTATTCTCTACATCTATGAGCTTGGTGAGGTTTTGTTTTGTTTTGTTTTTTAGATTCCACATGTAAGCAAGATTACATGGTATTTGTCTTTCTCTGTCTGACTTATTTCACTTAACATAATACCTTCAAGGTCCATCCATGTTGTTGCAAATGGCAAGATTTCATTTCTTTTTTTGTGGCAGAATAGTATTCTACTGTATATGTATACCACATTTTTATTTATCCATTGATGGACACTTAGGTTGTTTCCATGATTGAGACTTTAGAAGTGAAAGTTGTTACAGGTAAATTGCTTTCTCCTGTTAATCTTCAGAGCAACTTTTACATATGGGTCCTGAAATAATTATTTGCTTTATTTAATACTAATTGCTACTTTATGGGGGAGACTGTAGTAAACGTTTTACATCAACAGGCCAACCAGGTAATCTAGAGGTTTAAATAATGAATGTGAGAAGGCGTAACTTTATAATTTTCTATCTTGACACATAATAATAGTTAATACTTTGAAGATACAAGCTTTCCTAGGAGTTTGCATCATCTCATTTGACTGATTTTAAATCTCCCTTTTGTTAAGATAACAATTAATTTAGTAGTTAATTTTTATTGACTTGTTTCCCGTCTTATTTTAAAGCTAAAGATAGTTTGTGGCTGCTCACCTTCAATGAGAAATGATAGAAAGTCAGAAGCTCTCCCAGAAATGAGAGAAAGTTCTTTAGAAAATAACTTCTGAATGTTTATATAATCTTGATGTTGTTTTTATTTTTCTCATTTATTTGAGAAGAAGAAAAAAAAGATGGTGACTTAACATTTAAATAGAAATACTAGGAAATATCTGACTTTGTAGAGACAAAATAAACCAATAAATTATTGTTCTTTGTCATTTATGCAGGAAACTAAATACCCTTTCTCTGTATAACTAAACAAAGATTAACTTATGAATGCTTTATTGAAAAATACACTTATTTTCATATAAAATTACAGTAGCAGTAAGTATCTTGAGAGGTGTTATAAATATTTTTGCACCACTATTCTAACTGAACAGCATAAGTTCTGTGTTTCTTTCAGAGCAATATGAAGTTACCCAGTACTCGGTTTATACTGATTCAATTTACAATTGAATTTTCTCCCCAATAAGATTATTCATTGAACTTTAAAACTGCTGGAACAATAGTGATTAATAAAGGTATATATAGATAATTTTTAAAAAATACTAGGAAAAAAAGAAATATTAGGTGTAGGGTCAGAACGGCTAAAATTAACAACTCAGAAAACAGTAGATGTTGGCGAGGATGTGGAGAAAGGGGAACCATCTTACACTGTTGGTGGGAATGCAAACTGGTGCAGCCACTCTGGAAAATATTGTGGAGGTTCCTCAAAAAGTAAAAACAGAACTACCCTATGACCCAGCAATTATACTACTATTTATCCAAAGGATTCAAAAATAGTGATTCGAAGGGGCACATGCACCCCAGTGTAAATTTATAGCAGCGGTGTCCACAATAGCCAAACTGTGGAAAGTGCCCAGATGCCCATCAACAGATGAATGGATAAAGAAAATGTGGTATACATACAATGGAATATTATTCAGCCATCAAAAAGAGTGCAATCTTGCCATTTGTAATGATGTGGATGGAACTAGAGGGTATCTTGATAAATGAAATAATCAGAGAAAGACAAATACCATATGATTTCACTCGTATGGTGGAATTTAAGAAGCAAAACAGATGAACATAGGGGAAGGCAAGGAAAAATAAAATAATGTAAAAACAGAGGAGGCAAATTATAAGAGACTCTTGACTATAGGGAACAAACAGGTGGAGAGGTAAGTGTGAGGGGATGGGGTAATTGGACATTAAGGAGGGCACTTGATGTAATGAGCACTGGGTGTTATATGCAACTGATGAATCACTAAATTCTACCCCCAAAACTAAGAATACACTGTATGTTAACTAAATAGAATTTAAGTAAGAAATTTAAAAATACAAAATAAAATAATTTTCAAAAAAAGAAATACTACGTGTAGTGACAGTGTCTATAGTGTGATCCACGTATGTCTGGAAGAAAATACACCAAAAATACTTACTGTAATTATGTCTGAGTGATGGATTTTGAATGAATTTATTTTGTTATTTTTATGTATTTTCTAAATCCTATACTTAACACTATAATCAATAAAATGTATCCCTAGAAAATTAGGCTTGCCAGTGAATTCATATATTGGCTATTGATTGTTAACTCAAAATATCAAAGAAAGGAAACATTTTAGAAATAAACTCACCTTAAACTCTTAAGATTGCTGTATTCTCAGGCATTCTGGTTTCCTCTAAAAGTGACTCTCTTTTTCAGGATTCAAAATCATGTAGAATAGAGCCTGATAAGTCTGAATTGGAAAACTCCGGATTTGACGGAATGAGCGAAGAAGAGCTTCTAGCAGCTGTTTTAGAGATGAGTAAGAGAGAAGCTTCACCAACTCTGAGTCATGAAGATGATGATAAACCAACCAGCAGCCCAGATACCGGATTTGCAGAAGATGATATTCAAGAAATGCCTGAAAATCAAGACACTGTGGAGACTGAGAAGCCCAAAACAGTCACAGAGACCGGTAGGTTTAATGAAAATAAACATCTGTTAAGGCACAACTGTGTTCTAAAGCCTTGTAGGGACAAGTGGCTTGTAAATAATGGGAGGTGAAATGAATCTGTGTAATAGGGCTATTCATATTTTCATGCTTTTTTTTAAAAAAAAAGTTTAAAAAATGAGAAGTTATATATTGCGAGTAGTATCCAGAGACTGATGGTAAAGTATGCCGTATCCCTTTAAGTGTACATCAAAAGAAAAGTAAGAATTCTTTTTTTTTTTTTTTAAAGATTTTATTTATTTATTTGACAGAGAGCTAGTGAGAGCAGGAACACAAGCTGGGGGAGTGGGAGAGGGAGAAGCAGCTTCCCGCTGAGCAGGGAGCCCGACGCGGGGCTCGATCCCAGGACCCTGGGATCATGACCTGAGCTGAAGGCAGGCGCTTAACGACTGAGCCACCCAGGCGCCCCAAAAGTTAGAATTCTTTTGTGCATTTAAGTAAATGTGTCATTTTTTTGGTCCCTTTTTTTTTTTTTTACCACTGCTCTCTCAGAAATTTGTATAATTCTTTCCTCATTTTTCTGTATCTGAATTTGTACCAAGTTTTAGTGTATGAATAATTCAAGTTCTCTTTCCTTTGGATTCATCCCTTTATAATGGTAGAAAGACACCTGAACTAAGTGGTCAGGTTTTAAGCCTCTCATCTTGGCTGTCCCACTGACTAGCTATGAATTTTTTTTAAAGATTTATTCATTTAGAGAGCAAAAGAGCGAGGAGAGTAGAGGGGAGGAAGAGGGACAAGCAGACTGGGTTGAGCCCGGAGCCCAACGCGGGGCTCGATCTCATGGCCCTGACATCACAACCTGAGCCGAAATCAAGAGTTGTACGCCTAACCAACTGAGCCGCCCAGCCGCTCCATAGCTATAAATTTTCTAAATAGGCGGTTTAACCTTTTTGGTACTCCATTTTCTTATCTCTGTATAGGAATACACCAGGCATACTTCAGAAGGTTGTGAGTAGAATGTTAGGTCATATAGTGTAAAGTGCTATACAGATCAAAATTTACTTTGTGGTAATTATTCATATTTTGTTATTTTTCAATCCATCAGTGGGAACAACAGCAGAGCCTCCTTGCCTTGCCCTGTGGGTATTTTAAGAATTTTAGGTAGAAAACTTTTACTACCTCTTCCTGTAACCAACTCTTAATTTTTTTCTCCAGATATCCCTAATATGTATATTTATCTGTCTGTGTAGCTGATGTGTTTCAGTACATCAAGCCTAGAATTTTGGAGATGAAGAGAATAATAGTAAATCACAATTATTTTCTGTATTCTGGGGGTTAAGCCTCATCAATTGTGAATTACTTTATGTGCAAATGAAGGTAAGAATTAGTATATCCTCAGTCTAATTGGATACAAAAAACTGATGGTTTTTGGATAGGGTGCTCCTTCCCCCCCGCCCTTCTTGATGCAAGTATCCTCAGGAAATCCCTTTCTCTTATTAAATTTACAGTCACTGCCCTTAGATATCATTGGTTAATATTAGTGCTTTTGCCTTTTGCCAATAATTCCTGCTTTCAGCTCTTCCTTTCACATCTTTGCTCAGTCCTACATCTCCCTAAAATTAACAAAGGAAGTTATTCTTATGTATAATTAGTTCTAGATTCTCTACATCAGTTGGGGAGAACACTGAGTTATCAAAAGCATTAACAACTACAGTCGTTTACAACCATATAGCAGCTTTGGGGAGAGCAGACTTATTAGTAAGTACTTTATAGCCTTTTTAAATAAAATCCTCTATTCTCTAGCTACTATCTTCCCCCATCGGATGCAAGCCTTTTTTGTGTTTGTTTCTTTAATGTAACTGTTGCATTCACCTTCTTACTGTAACTGAAACCCAAAGACATTGCTTCTGCTGCAACATTTCTTTTTTACAGAAACTATGGAGCAAGTACAAAACTAGAGAGGTGTGTAATGAATCTTCCCCCTTGTGCCCATTATCAACAATAATTATCAAAAAAAGACAGTCTTGTTTCATATATATCCCATCTTCTCCACCCCATCCCCTAGATTATTTAGAAGTAAATCCTAGATATTAGATAATTTCATCAGTAAAGATTTCAGTACCTTTAAAAGAATTCTGTTTTAAAAAACATAGCCTCAATCCCACTATCATACTTTTAAAAATTAACAATAAAACTAAGGAATGATCAAACATGATCAAAGTCTACCATAAATCTTCTATTTTGAAAATGTTCAAATCCAGAGAGAAATGAAATATTCATTATTTAACAGTTTGTCACATTTGCTTTCTCCCCTCACTGTGTGTCTGTGTAGATAGTTGTATAGCAGTTACCCAAAATTCGTATCTTAAAACATTTTAACATCTTACAACTCTGTGGACTGACTGGTTGTAACTAGGTTGTAACATCCAAGATGGCTCACCTAGGCACCTTGGTGATGTTGGCTAGACAGGTCCACTGGGGTGGCTGGGTGTCCTCTCCATTCTTTCCTTCCCCTCCCCTCCCCACAATCTCAGGGCCTCTCCCTCTCCATGTGCTCTTTCCAGCAAGGTAGTCAGCTTCTGACATGACAGCTCAGGGCTCCCAGAGCACAAAAGGGGAAGAAACTGCCACGCCTCTTTAATGTAATGTTTAGCCTCAGAATTAGCACAGAATCAATTCCACCACATTTTGTTGCTTAAAGAGCACTCACAGTGAGAATCTACCTAGATTCATTCTGGGGGGTGACTACACAGGAATACAAATACTGACAGTAAGTAAGAATACTGCGTAGTTCATTGGGGGCCATCTTTGCAGACTCCACACATGCACGCATGCACTTTTTTACAGCAACTGTTTGAAATTGCAGGTATCATGATATTTCACCCTAAAACACTTCAGGCTGAATCTCCAAATATATGGAAATTTTCCTACGTAACAGTAATCACCCCTAACAATTTTAACAGTATTTCCATATATAATTCTAGTGTAAAGTCCTTTTTTTTTTTTTTTTAAACCTAGAACCCAAAGTTTACCCACTGCATTTAGTTGTTAAGTCCCTTTAGTATTTAGTCAAGGCCAATTTTTCTTTGAAAAGCTCCCATTATGGATTGCCCTACTGTTCTTTAAGTATAAGTTGTTTTTTCCCATACCCTAATACTTAAGAGCCTGGAGATGGGATAGGTTTTCTCCTTGTTACCCAGTCCCATTTCCAACCCTTTTGTCTCCTTTTATCCTGCAAAAATCCCAGCTTCTTGAAGTATAAGACATCAAACTTTGCCTCCTTTTATCTCTTCCTATAGCTGTCTTTTACCTTTCATTCTCTCTCATTAACATTCTTAGGGCCTTCAGCATCTTCATAAATGATCCTTTCAACAGCCTGGTTTCTCAGTTCCTAATCTTCATTCTAAAGATCTTTTTTCCTACCCCATCTTTTTTTCCCCCCCAAAGATTTTATTTATTCATTCGAGACACAGAGATAGAGAGCGAGAGCACGAGCAGGGGGAGAGGCAGATGAAGAAGCAGGCTCCCCGCTGAGCCAGGAGCCGGACATGGGGGGCTCTATCCCAGGACCCTGGGATCATGACCCAAGCTGAAGGCAGATGCTTAACCATCTGAGCCACCCAGGCACCCCCTTACCGCATCTTGATCACTGACAGAGGTCCTATCCTAGATCAGTGGTTCTCAAAGTAGGTCCCTAGATCATCAGTATCATGCAGGAACTTGCTGGAAATGCCGTTTGTGGCCCCACCCCAGACTTACTGAATAAGAAACTCTGGATATAGGAGTCAGCATTCTGTTTTGACTCCAAGTAGTTCTGATACATGCTCAAGTTTGAGAACTACTTCTCTTGACTTTGTCTTCATCAGTAACTGTACCACCTTTGAAATCTTGATTTCATATATCCTTCACTCCTTCCAACTTACTTAGTGTTATATGTTCTGTTTTCAGTGATTACTTGATCTCATTAAGATTTCCAGTCCTGGGGTGCCTGGGTGGCTCAGTCAGTTGAGTGTACAACTCTTGATCTTGGCTAGGTCTTGATCTCAGGGTTGTGAGTTCAAGCCCCATGTTGGTTGGGCTCCATGCTGGGTGTGGAGCCTAGTTAAAAAAAAAAAAAAAAGATTTCCAGTCCTTTGACTTCTTATTTGCTGTTCATCACCTCTCTCTTGTCATCACTTTCCCAGCCTGTAGGCCGGATCTTGGTACTCTCCTTTCCTTCCTCTTTTTTTGTCACAGTCACCTGACACAACCCTGGCTCCCAGCTTAACTAGATTCATATTCCATACCTACCCCCAAGCAGCTGAAGATTACTGGAGAAGGTCACAAGTTTGTGCGGACTAGACTTCCCTCTCATTCATGACTACACTCTTAAGTGGGCTCTAAATGTGACTAGTCAGTTCTACTTCCTTAGTAAATTTCTTTTCTCATTCTCCATGATCTCTTCCTCAAATCTCCATTTCTCTTTCCGCACACACTCTAGGTTTATAGCCAAGCTGTGGACTTTTCAAAGAAGATAGATGTAGTCAGATGAAAACTCTGCCTTCACTTTTGTTATGGAGGAAACTATTCCTGCTCTTATTTAAGGCCAGTCCCTCTATTCATATTCAGAATTTGATCCACTGTGTGTGCCTTTAAAGACCTTTTCCTTTTTTTTTTTTTTAAAGATTTTACTTATTTATTTGACAGAGATATAGCAAGAGAGGGAACACAAGCAGGGGGAGTGGGAGAGGGGGCTTGTGTTCCTGCTCTCGCTCGCTCTCTCGCTCTGTCAAATAAATAAATCTTAAACAAAAAACAAAAACTTATTTGGCTTGCCATTACACTTCATCCAAGCCTCTTACCATGACCTTTCTCCACTCTCCCCCTCTTTCACTCTACTTAGCCATAGTGGCTTTGTTTCTCTCTGTCCCTCAAAATATGCTAAGTTCATTCTCATCTCACAGCCTTTGCACTTAAGCTCTTTGAGGACAAGGGCCATCTTGCTTTAATTATCACTGTATCTTCACCTTCTACAACAGTGCCCAGTGCATAGTAGATTCTCAGTAAATATTTGGGGCCCAACAGAGTGTCTCATGAATCAACTCAGGAGGGTCAGGAAGACTGGCCAAGTAAGGTTTCATGTCTCCAGACATTTGCCAGAGGGAAGAGTGTATGCAAAGGCTGAGAAAGGCTGGCAAGTTAGTGGGCAGCAAAAAAAAGTTGAGAATGATCTGCATTGCTGGAGCATAGTGTTGAGGAAGAAAAGCAAAAGAGAGACATGCATTCTCTAGTTTTTACATGGCTTGAAGCCATGTTTAGAAGTTTGGACTTCTTTTTCAAAGGCATTAGGAAGTTATTGCCTATTTTTAAGCAAACAAGTATTTGATAAAGATTTATATTTGTAAAAGATGATTCTGGCTGCATTGTAGCACATAAATTACAGAACCCAAAGTAATCCTGTGAGACCTGTTAGGAAGTTGCTGCAGTTGTCTAGACCAAAAGCTAATGGTGCCTTAAGCCAAGGTTTTGGCATTTGAAAGAAAAGTTGATGGATTTAAGAGATAGTTAGGAAATAATGACTTATCTGATAGGAGGGGACAAGTAAAAAATGACACCAGCTTTCTGTCTTTAAAAAAAGACTGTGTATGGTGATCCCTTTCATTGAAATAAAGACTGTAGGAAAGGAGGTTTCATTTGGGATAGGGGAAGAGTCAGATAATCTGTATTCAATGTAAGAATGTTGAGTTTTAACACATGGTTTTCCTTCTATCCATTGTTCAGGTTCCTTAAAAGTGTATTGTTATTCCATGGTTATATTTGTTCCCATAGATCTTAAGTAATGTTTGTATCCATCTCATAATCTTGTCCTGAAGATAAATCTGTCTTGATTATCTCAAAGTAAACTTCCTTGGGGTGCTCAGTGGCTCAGTCGGTTAAGTGTCTGCCTTTAGGCTCACGTCATGATCCCGGAGTCCCGAGATCAAGCCCCACGTCGGGCTCCCAGCTCAGCGGGGAGTCTGCTTCTCCCTTTGCCCCTGCCCCCAGCTTGTGTTCTCTCACTTGTGTGCTTTCTCTCTCTTTATCAAATAAATAAAATCTTAAAAAAGTAAACTTTCTTGATTTGTTTTCTATCACATGGATTAATTGATAGTGTAATTTTAGGATTGTGTGGAGCACATTGATACATGGAATGCTGAAAATTATTGGTTAAGAAAAATTGTACCTCTGTCACTTTTTTTTAATTGAGTATATTTTGGTAATAAAAGTAATATTTAACTTAGGCCCTAAAATAGCAGCCTTAACTCCCAAATCTTTCTTCCACTTGAAATGTTCAACATCAGCTAACTTTGAATGCCTCAGTCTCAGATTTCCAGAAATAATCTGATTGGTTGACTCAAATATCCATTCCTGGTGCAGTAAGCTAAGGCCAGAGGGACAGGCAGGGTCAGATAGACCTCAGAGCTGCCCCTTACAGACTGTGGAAATGACTGTTTCTCCAAGAACGGAGGAAAGGAAGAAATTACTGACATCTTTTATATAATTTTTTAAAATTGGGATCATATTGCTCTTGCCCTTAATATACCTGAGGGTTTTTCTCTTTTAATGAATATTCAGAGTTAGTTTTTAAAGGTAAATATTCATTTGGCAATTTAATACAATTAAAAAACAATGAACTACTTACTGACTTAGAGTCTAAAATCAAGATGCTGTAAACTTCAGGGACACCTGGGTGGCTCAGTCGATTAGGTGTGTCTGCCTTTGGCTCAGGTCATAATCCCAGGACCCCGGGATTGAGTCCCCTGTTGGGCTCTTTGCTCAGCGGGGAGCCTACTTCTCCCTCTGCCTCGGCCTGCAGCTCCCCCTGCTTGTGCTCTCTCTCTCTCTCTCTCTCTCTCTGACAAATAAATAAAACCTTAAAAAAAAAAGGGGGGCGCCTGGGTGGCTCAGTCGTTGAGCGTCTGCCTTCGGCTCAGGTCATGATCCCAGAGTCCTGGGATCGAGCTCCACATCAGGCTCCCTGCTCCGCGGAAGCCTGCTTCTCCCTCTCCCACTCCCCCTGCTTGTGTTCCCTCTCTCATTGTGTCTCTCTTTGTCAAATAAATAAAATCTTTAAACAAAAATAAATTAAAAATAAAAAGATGCTGTAAACTGCAGAGTTTATAGTGTGGGCTATAGAAAAGTATCATTTAAGTAGTTAAAATGCAGTAATAGGGCAAGTAAAGCGCATATACTGATTTTACTTGCTTACCTTTATTTACTTCTTTATTTTAGAGTGCAAATGGGGGGAGAGGGAGAGAGGGAATCCAGGCAGGCTCCCCGCCCAGTGTTGATCCCAACATGGGGCTTAATCTCCAGACTTTGAGATCATGACCTGAGCCGAAATCAAGAGTCCAATGTTTGACTGAGCCACCCAGGCACCCTAAGCATATACTGATTTTAAAGCAATCCATATAAAATCTGTAAAGATAATTCTTGTTGACCAATTAAATTCTTATGAGAATTTCCTTGTTAAGATGAGAATTTTTGCTTTTGTAAAGTGAGAGAGAAAGAGAAAGCTCTTATCCACCCACTCTTATCTGTATTAAAATTATAATGAAATGTTGTTCTAACAGAACAAAATCTGTTTCACCAGAACAAAATCATGACCATGTTGTTTATCCTAGCTAGCTGTGATCTAGAGATTGAGAAGGAACGGGAAGAAATGAAAGATTAATTTTTTTTCTTATCTCCTTGGATGAATGTTTTAAACATATATATTGTCTTTTGTTTGTGCAGTACATGAGGTGTTTATTATATATTTCATGTAGCTCTTTTGCTTTAGAATATGTACAAGGGTTATTTGATCATTAATGTGAAAATATACACTCATTTGACGTACAGTTTAATAATGGAAAAACCTCAATATTAAGATAATCATTCTAGCCTAATTCTTATTTCATTTACTCTATTCCTAGTACTTGGTCATGTGACATTATGACTGGCTGTGAATATGGCTATTCATTTTTCTCCATCCTTAACGATAATGCTTCTGATGATTGGTTAAGTTTCAGAACCATTTCGGTAGATCAGTGATTCTCAACCAAGGACAGTTTCGTCCCCCAGGGGACATTTGACAATATCTGTCCCTTTTTGGTTGTCGCTGCTGGGGGAGAGGGGTGCTACTGGCATCTAGTAGGTAGAGGCCAAGGATGTTGCTAAACATTCTGCAGTGCATAAGACAGCCCCCTCAAACAGCAAAAAATTATCCCACCCAGAATGTCAGTAGTGCTGAGATTGAGAAACCATGATCTAAATGTAGTAAAATGAAATTGTATGTCCCAAGCAAATTATGTATGAGGCTCAGGTAAATTACTCTCTCTGAACAGTAGATGTCACTCTAATCCAGAGATTACAGTTTATTAGAGCAGCTTTCCCAGTTATGTCCTGTTCTGCTTCCTCAGAGTCTGCCGGTTTTACTGAGATAACTAAAGACTGTGATGAGAATAAAGAAAACAAAACTCCAGAAGGGTCTCAAGGAGAGGTCGATTGGCTCCAGCAGTATGATATGGAGCGTGAAAGGGAAGAGCAAGAGCTTCAGCAGGCATTGGCTCAGAGCCTTCAAGAGCAAGTAAGAGATAATTATATTGCTATTTTCTCCATATCTGTCTTTCCCAGTAATAACAACAGCTAACATGTGTTAAGCACTTACTGTGTGTCAGGCATCATTCCAGATAATTTACATACAGTAAACCATTGATACATCAAAACAAACAAACTTTGGAGCTTTGCCTTGGGTTTGAAATAGAAACAGTGGTAGTCTTTTTTTCTTTTTGGGTTTGTTTTTTTTTTAAATCCAGATACAACAAAATGTATTGTTGATTACTTCCCATTACTATAATTCATTGCATGCTAAAGAAAGGTGGGTTATTAGAGATCATCCCCAGTCCAAGTTGGTTTTGCAAGCTATAGAAACAGCCAGCATACCACCATGATTTTATCACTAATATTTTAAGGCATTGTATTTGTTCTGGTCACTTTCTCACAATATGAATCCTTTCCTATGAATTATTTGAACATAAAATTCTCAGGAATATTATCTGAATAGTATTTGAAATTTCAGATTTCAGCCATTGACTAACATTTATCTGGTTCTGCTCTTTTCTTATCTATTTTTTTTAAGATATTATTTTTAAGTAGTCTCTACACCCAGCATGGGGCTCAAACTCACAACCCCGAGATCAAGAGGCTCATGCTCCACCAACTGAGCCAGCCATGCGCCCCATATAATAATCTGTTCTTAAATTTTTAGTTCATCATGCTTATATTTGCCAGAGCTGGTTGATTGTACCATCGCAGTTCCCTGAGGTATCTGACTAAAAGGTGATGTCTTCATGGTTATCTAATCCAGTGCAATCCGAGTCATGCTAGTAATAAAAATTTACTAAAACTCCCTAGAATAAACACACAGTTTTCGTGTTTACAAATAATCAAATTAAGAAATCTATTTTTATCTTAGGGCTCCTGGCTGGCTCAGTTGGTGGAACATGCGACTCTTGATCTCAGAGTTGTGAGTTGGAGCCCCATGTTGGGTGTAAAGATTATTTAAAAATAAAAACTTAAAAAAAAATTAATTTGTCTAGAACAGAGGGGTTCAACTTTAACTACACATTAATATCATCTGGGGAGCTTTAAAAAATATTGATGCTTGGGTTGTTCTTCCCCTCAGGAATTCTGATAGAATTGATTCTAGTGTATGGTCTGGGCATCTGGATTTCTTTCCTTTTTTCTGTCTCTTTCTCCCTCCTCCCCTCTCTTCCTTCCTTCTTCCTTCCTTCCTCCCTCTCTCTGTCCCTCTCTTCTCTCCCTCCTTACTTGCTTCCTTCATTTTTTAAAACTTCCCACAGTTATTCTAGTGTTCAGTCAAGGTTGAGAACTGCTTTAAAATGATTTCCGAACCAGCTGTTCTGTATCCTTTTATTTACAAGAAGTACCTCCCTAGCCTCCTGGCCATCAAGATGCATTCATGTCACCCATTTTACAAATAATGGATAGTAATCATTTGTTTTAGAAAATTTATTCTTAATCTAAAAGACCAACGTCTAATTTCTTAATAGTTCCTTATAGTGCAGAAAAAGAAAAAATTCAGTACCCCTCTTTTTCATATACAAAAGACGAATATCCTATTTCTTGTCAGTTGACCCAGTTAAAACTACCTGATAAACCTATTTTCACATCTGAGAAATATAAGATGAACTTTCATTAGTTTGGTATACCTGCATCATTCTATTAATAGCTAAAAGACTCTTTTACCATCTGGGTTTCCTCATAGACTTTATAGCTGGGATAAGCTTAAGTAATCATATTTCCTCTTAGAGAATATCTGTTTCTTTCTTGAATACAGTGTTATTGCTCCCAGGACTTAAAGGCAGAATAGCTCATTCTGAGCTTCTTATATACTTTAGTGATCTTAAAAACAAGTGTAGACTTGAGAAAAGTATAAACAGTTCTGCTTAAATTATGTTTTTTCTTCATTTATGCATGAAGTTTGTAAATTGTATTTTCTCTGCAGATGAGAGGGAAAAATTTTTTACAGTCAACATTTCCATATTTTTACAATTAATCATCCAGTTGAGACATGTTCAGAGGTACTTGTTTTTCTAGGAGAACCTCAGATGTATTAGAGAAATAACAGTCAACAGTCAACGAATTCATTTCGTATTCACCATGTATCTAGTATGTGTCTTGGGTTTTTTTGTTGTGTTTTTTAGCAAGAACAAAACAGAAGTGTTTGAATAATGATCTTGTGGAAAGAATTGTTTTATCTTGCTGTCACAGACTTTAGGGTCCGTGATATGCTAGAGCCAGCTCACCATCAGCTCAGGTGTACGTACCTCTTCCCAACTCTGCACTCAGCATCACGTTGGTAGCTTAAAATTGGCCATGGTGGGAGTGTTTATACCATGAAAATTGGCAAAGGCTGTAAATTAGAGGAAAGAAAACAGAGCAGTTTGCTAAGTAGATTCTGCTATGTGCCAGGTATTTCATACATAGAAGGAAAAAGGGAATTAAATCATAATGTCATAGTGAATGGCTTTTGGTTAGCAAGCCAAGTGTCACTGACTAGAGGAGATAGCATGTAAGCCTTTTTAACCCCCAAGGTTGGGTTTTAGAGGGCAGCATTGAAAAAAGCAAAGAATTTCTCCACATCCCTCAAAAGGTCGTATTCCAAACATAAGATTATGGAAAACATTATTAGCAAATACTTCCAGAGCAGCTGATTTTGTAGTCCTTAAATAAGTTTATTCAATACCTTTTTAAATACCTTAGTTGTGTTCTTATCCCTTTAGGAAGCTTGGGAACAGAAAGAAGATGATGACCTCAAAAGAGCAACAGAGTTAAGTCTTCAAGGTGTGGAGATTATTTTAATTACATTGTTTTAATGGAGAAATGAATCACACACAGAAAAGCATGTGAAGTATTATTTTTAATGATTTAATTTTTTTAAGTTTTGGGGGGGTCATAGAAGCAATATCATCTCAAATATCTGAGGATATTAAATATAGTTCATTTGTTTGCTTATTTGAAGTTTTCTTCTCCCTGAATACAGATTGTTTCCTCTAGCTGCTCTGTCCTGTCTTGTTATTATGCTCTTTATATATATTTTTAAAGATTTTATTCGAGACAGAGAGATACAGAGAGCATGAGCAGGGGGAGAGGCAGAGGGAGAGGGAGAAGCAGACTCCCCCCGCTGAGCAGGGCGCTCAACATGGGGCTTGATCCCAGGACCCTGGGTATCATTATCTGAGCCTACGGCAGACACTTAGCCATATGAGCCACCCAGGCACCCCATGCTCTTTATATTTCTTAATAGAGACTTTCCTCAGGTACGTAGTAATCCATGGCTGTGGTTCATGATTAAGAAGAGGAGACTAAAGGTTGATTGGAAGCCCTGAGCATATGAATAGCTAGGCCTTGTCAACTGTGAGTTTTACTGGGTGGGACTGTTTTGGGGATGATGTTAATGTTATTTAGGCCTTTTTCTTGGGCTGGTCAGATTCCTAAAAAAGAGTTTTCTGATCTCTTGCCTTTGCCTAAAGGTAAAAGATGTGGCTGCCAAAGTTCTGGGAGCCAAGTATAGGAATAGGGCTGGCAGTTATATTCATCCTTCACTATGCAAACTGTGGCCTACTCCTCTCTTTTCAGTATGTGCCTGGCATCCCCCAATCCAGAGACTGTTTTACCCTCTCCAGAGGATAAAACTCCAGACTTCTGTCATTGCTCAGCAGCATGAAGTGGGGAGAAAGGGGTCCTGGGAGTCTGTTTCTCAAATACTTTTCATCAAATCCTTATTTTTATCTCCTCCTTAGTCTCCAGTTTCAACGGTACATGGTAGTTCAAGGTTGTATGTCTTTTGAACAAGATTCTGTGATGTAAATTGAATTGGTTCTCAACTTTTCCATTACTGGCTTAGGATCTGGTTTTGGCTTTCCTTGGTCTGCTAAGTCAGTCACCATCTACTTTCCAGCTTCCAGAGTTCTGATGTTCCAGTCTCTTTTTCTGTTCTTCCCACTCTGAGGTGTTCATGTCTTATAAATAACTATACTGTGATTTGAGTGGAATTAATTATATTTTAAAGCAAAGAGACACTTAAGTACAAATGATTCTGGGATTCTTTTGTTTGTTTTTTTAAGATTTTATTTATTAGAACATGAGCGGGAAGGGGGGGCAGAGGGACAAGCCGACTCTCCACTGAGCAAGAAGCCCAAAGTGGGACTTGTTCCCAGGACTGTGAGATCATGACCTGAGCTGAAGTCAACCTCTTAACTGACTGAGCCACCCAGCCCCACACCCCATCGCACCCCCAGGATTCTTTATTTACAGTCATTAGTAAATCTACCAGTGGAAACACTTTATTAAAGAAAAAAGCAATCTTGGATTTAATTGTTAGTGTATTTTAGTGAAACTTAAAGATTAAATTTCCAGGGGCGCCTGGGTGGCTTGGTCAGTTGAGTGTCTGCCTTCCACTCGGGCCTTGATCCCAGGGTCTTAGGATCAGAGCCCCACGTCTCAGGGAGCCTGCTCCTCCCTCCCCCTGCTTGTGTGCGCGCTCTCTCTCTCTCTCTCTCTCTCTCTCTCCCTCCCTCCCCCCCCCCCTCCCCCCCCCCCCCCCCAAATAAATAAAATCTTTTTTAAAAAGGTTAAATTTCCATTATATTTATTACATTTCAAAAGATGTAATATTGAAGAACATGAAAGGATACTAATTTTTTTATGGTCGCTTTTCTGTGAGATCATTTGTATTTGCTGGGAGCACCTACAATATATACACCAAATAGTTGAAATCTAACATACAGTTTATATAATGTGAAATTGGGTTATCTGTAAAACCATAATCTTTTTTTCAGTTTTATTCCTTTCTTAGCATTATATCCCTTTCATATAAATATATTTAAGAGAAAAGGGACATTTCTTTTATAGATACCTGGTACCTGAATTGTTATTCCCCGGAGTGGGCTGGATAAAATAAAAGCCTAATAATGTTTTAGGTTTCCTTAGGATGATAAAATATGTACTCCAAGCTGTTTTTTTTTTATCTTTCTAATCATATCACTTTGTGTCTATTCTAAGAACTTTTACAACACTTTATATTCTGCAGAGTTTAACAACTCTTTTCTGGATTCGTTGGGTTCCGATGAGGACTCTGGCAATGAGGATGTTTTAGACATGGAGTACACAGAAGCGGAGGCGGAGGAACTAAAAAGAAATGCAGAGGTAGGCTGCTTACTCCCTAAGTAGGACTGCTCAGGCTGCCGGCATCACTCTTCCTGCTGTTTCTCTTCCAAGGCCCCACTGTCAGTATCCCCTGTGGCAGCCATCAGTGCTCTTCACGTTCTCTTTTCCTTTGCTCATTTCTTCTTTTTTTTTTTTCCCTTAAGATTTTATTTATTTATGGGGCGCCTGGGTGGCTCAGTCGTTAAGTGTCTGCCTTCGGCTCAGGTCATGATCCCAGGGTCCTGGGATCGAGGCCCACATCGGGCTCCTGCTCCATGGGGAGCCTGCTTCTCCTTCTCCCACTCCCCCTGCTTGTGTTCCCTCTCTAGCTGTGTTTCTCTCTGTCAAATAAATAAATAAAACCTTTAAAAAAAAAAAAAAGATTTATTTTAGAGAAAGAGCCTGTGAGTGAGGGGAGGGGGAGAGGAAGAGGAGAGAATCCCAAGCAGATTCCTTGCTGTATACAGCGCCTGACGCAGGGCTTGATCCCAGGACCCTGAGATCATGACCTGAGCCAAAACCAAGAATTGGACACCTAACCGACTGAGCCACCCAGGCACCGTGCTCCTCATTTCTTATATACAAGATTCAAAATCAAATGAAACAAAACTAGAAAGATATCCTGACTCCCTCTTATGCATGTTAGGTAGTAACTGAGTAACATGACTCTCAATGTCATATATTAATTCACCTGTAGTTCTGCCAAAACTATATTGTCTTTAAGTGAAATAACAAAACTAGTTGGTTGTTAACTCAGTAAAAACTACTGGATCAATGACATTAAACTAGAACACATTGTAACCTTTTTTTGCCCTTCTTAATTGCTTTTCTTTCCATTTTCCAATTTTTTTGTAATTTTAATTACGTAGAACTCCACTGTCCTAACACAACTGCTGTTAGCATTTTTACATATTTTGTCAACCCTACCTCCAACTGTGCTTTTAAAACGTCGGAAGTAGTTTTTATTCTGCTTACTTGTTAAAGATTATTTATAAGCATTTTATTTTTAATGGCTGTATGTATATTGCCTCAAATCAACATACTATTTATTTCACTTAATTTTTAACCATGAGTATTTATGTTTCTGTTGTTCCATTGTAATAATGAATACATTGGGAGGCGCTTGGCTGGCTCATTTGGTAGACTGTGCAACTTTTGATCTCAGGGTTGTAGGTTCGAGCCCCACATTAGGTGTAGAGATTACTTTAAAAAATATACATGTTTAAAAAATACATTGAGGAACTGTGGATGATTGTAATATTTTCTGTGTTTAGGATTTTCTTCTTTCAGTAAATTCCCAGAAGTAAATTACTGCTTCCAAGTTGAGAAACATTTTAATGGTTTCTGGTTTACATATACCTATATTCCTTCCCAAAATTTGTATCTTATAGTGCTGCCTGCAGTGCATGAATGTCACTTTCCAGGTTTTTACAATTTTTCTACTAACAGTATTTTAATAGCATTTTAAAAAATATTTAAAACATAAAAGTTTATCCATAATCCCTACAGTACCACCGCAGCTGTTTTCATTTTGTTCATTTTGTTTTCCAGTACTTAATCATTAACATACCTGTTTTTATAGAGCTGTAATTATTGTGTGCATTCATGTGGATTTCAAAAACAAGTTTACATGTTGCTGACCCACTGAATAATATTGCATTGAGTTGGTATACCACTAATCATTCAACTATTATTGGGCCTATTGTTCCAACTTTCCATTATTATAGATAATGCTACAGTGAATAATTTTATACATGTACTCTTTTCTTCTTTTGAATGATTTTCCTAGGATAAATTCTTAGTTGGGAGTAGAATTCTTGGGTCAAAAGGTATGAACAATACAACCACTGGATTTTTTTTTTATTGAGTTTGACTACACACACACTGAAACTCAGCCGTATTAGCTTTGATAATGAATTTAAATTTAGTGTTTTGCTTTTATTCAAATGAAGAGTTAAAAGTCATGCTCACTTCTGTTTTCCAGACAGGAAATCTTCCTCATTCTTATCGACTCATTAGTGTTGTCAGTCACATTGGTAGCACCTCTTCTTCAGGTAAATGGACATTATGATTTCAGCATTTTACAAATGAAGTAGCCAGCATTTACTCCCTATTAGTTTGCTCTGTGCCTAGCTTCATGAGCTATAGGTTGAACGCATTAAGAAAAAGTTTTAAATCTTTCCTTTGATCACACTAAATGTGAATTGTGTTAAAGGTGCAACTTTTTTATTTATTTATAGATGACCCAAATTCCCCTATATATGTGTATGTAAAAAAAAAAAAAAA